TGCTGTGGGTGCTGAAGGTATTGGAAACAGTAACCGTGAAGTGGGATATTTTTTACGATAACTGAAAAAAAAAGTAGAATAATGTTTGTTAATAAGTCTATGAAAAACTAACAGATCAATGAAATAATCAATTGGTACTAGAGATGTAGAGTTGAACTTGATTCTAAACAGTATTAGAGTATGCAAATATGCATTTTTATCTTTGTTTATTAAATCAAGCTGCAAGACTATAATACTGTGTACTCTTACTAGCAAAACACATTAATAATATAAGAGAATGTGTGGCCCTTAGGGAGCAGCAAGAATGCTTTGTTTTGTATACACTTTTGGAGCGTCTGCTGCCTGATCTTATTCTCATTCTCCTTGTGGGATCATCTTCAGCTGAGGTTGTAATGAGGCTTTTAGTGTTTGAGAGAACTGCATGTTCTGCACGTTTTACCAGTTTTCAATGGGTTTTGGAATCTGGAGATTGTTGTGGCCATAAGAGGGAATTGAAGTGTTTGTCATGTTCCTTAAGCCAACTTCACTGGAGGCTAACACATATTGCTCATCACTGAGAGAGTCTTTTCTCAAGAGTTTGTTTGACAGGCAGTGCCTGCTCTTTTGCCAGTGAGGGTACTCCATATCTCCTTTCATTTGTCTGTCTGTTAGTGGGGTGTCACACATCTGCTACAGTATCTGTTAGACAGTGTTTATTTGTCTTTTCACATTTTCTTTCCATAATGTGACGACTTGTATTCCTCAGTTTCAGTTACAGTATGGCTATTCAATAAGACTAGAGGAATTATGTCTCATCTTTTTTCATGTTAACAAAAACAAAGAAGTAAACATTGTCTTTTTTTATAAAAGGGAATAAGGATTGAAGAAAACTAGGTTTATGTAAATATATTTTTACAGTTTCTCCTGTTATTGCAATATGCGTCTGTGAAATCGCTAAAGACAAGAATTCAGGCTTCAACCAAAAGTTTTAAATGTTTTTAATGAGCAAGTAATGACAGGACTTCTTTTCCCTTTAGCTCTCCTTTGCAGAAAAATGTTCTTGACTTGTCAAAAGAACAGTCTCAGCTCCCATTTTCCTTGGAGTTAGGGGTAGAGAGCAGTTCTGCTTTCAGAAATGCAAACATTTTATGAAGATCTGAAAAGTGAGTGTCTCAAATGATTAAACTGGTGTGTAGGCCAAATTGCTTTATATAATCATGGTGGGAGGGTTTATTCCATAGGCCTAAGACTTGCCTATTACATCTAAATTGACTTATTTTGTGCTTATACAGTATATTATTCTACATACTTTTGCTGCTTTCCTAAGCAGCATGCAAAGAAAGCCCCGGGCATATATTGTTTTATTATTACATAACGTTTAACATCTGTTTCTTCTGTGTTGGATTGCAGTTCACTATTACAAGGTTGGTAGAATCAGTTCTCTAGGGTATTCGGGCAGCCTTGGAATCTGAAGCTTGGAGAAATAAAAGAGAGATGTTTAACTCTGATTACTAATTTCTTTCTCCCTTTTCCCTATTACAATTTGATGTAATCTGTGGATAAATCTTAGCAGGACAGACACTACTTTTGTTTTTGAATAGGAGGATTGTGATTTGTTTTAAATCTTGATATTGGTGTAAAGTTGTCATTCTAGATTTGAAATTAAGTTTTCAGATTTTTTTATGTAGTTGGACATCCAGATTCTTTTTATGTTATTGAAATGTTTTGCTGAAATGATTTCCTTGGGGTTTGTGGGCAGCTTGCAGAGCGTGCAATTTTAAGATCATGGGTTTCTGCAGTAACATGTTGATAAAAAGTGTTTTTTTTTCATTTCAGAATGGTGTAAAATAGTTAACAATTTCCGTGGCACCTTGAGGAAAATCTATAGGTGTTTAGTGGAGGTGTAGATTTGTTGTCAAGGATTTCAATCATCATGGAAGCCTTTCTGCCCACTCTTTGGAGCATGTTGTTGGAATGAGCCATGAAATATTGCAGAATTTACAGAAATGAGCTTTATAAAAAATGTTCCATGTTCTGCTGATGTTACTGTAATCCACAATGTGGCTGTCCTCATTGATACTGCCTTCAGAACAACTTACAAAGCTGTCTTAATTTTTGGTATAACTTTGCAACTATTTTAGATTAGGCATTGCTTTATTCCTAATCAATGCAAAATGCAACTGTTTCAGATGGTGGTCTGTCAGTAAAGAGTATGCTAAACATTTTTATTTAAATTTAAACACTCTACCCCCAAAATAGGATACTAAAAATCTCTCTTTAGAGGAATCGTGTTCTACTGTATATACAGTACAAGATATAATGTCTACACAAGAATACCATGTCTTTGCATTGTAATATGAAAAAGTTTTATTTATGTTAAAGAAAGAAATGTCCACGCAAAAACCAATGTATCACCTGCAACAGAGAGCCATGCTAATTAATTGTTTGCGCTAAGCAACTGCTGAAATTGATGTACAAATTACATTTTCAGAGATGTGTTTGGTCCTCAATCTAAGCTTTTTGAAGGGTAGTACATTGAAGACTTATCACCCACATGGAAAATTAATAAGATTAATAGAAGCATCCAGTTTTGCCTTGTCTAAGACATGGCTCAAGGATAGAAAACTAACCAACCATTTAATTCTTACATGAAATGCAGCAGTTTCGAAGGGCTAGAAAGGGCATCACTCAAATGTAATCCATTTGTGTAGTATCCTGGAAAAGTTCTTAAAGTATTACTCATCAGTTATGGTCCATTGGAAAATTGTGTCCATGTTAAAGACTTATGCATATACAGTATATTGTAACAGGACACATCTATACCTGCTTCAGACAGACTAATGAAAGATGTATTCAACCACACATCAGTAACTTCATTGTCTTTACACCTTATTCAAAACTTGTAAACAATATTACATTTTACCATTGTTTATTCAAGTTGTAGAGCTCTCCCTGGCTTTACAGTTCAGTATCAGTACTCAGAATGTAGAATTAACACCAGTTTGTATTCTGTGAAGAAGTCTAGGTTATTTCTTAGAATTTAGCTCAGTCCTGTTAGTATTGATTGGCAGCCACTTTTTTAATAATGGAAAGGAAAGACATCCTACTGTTTACATATTGATAGATTAAAAAAACTTTAATTCCTTGATCATTTTATTTTAATGTAGTAGACAAAAAAGCTGTTCCTGGGGTGGGGTCCATGGCTGCCTGTTCACTTTTGAGGGTTCAGAAAGTCTGCTGTCACCTATGTGACAAATATGTAGCAGTGCTGGAGGTTAAGCATTCAAATTCAACCACCCCGATTGTAAACCTGATTTGTTTGCATTTCAATGCTTAATCACTTTCGTGTGGATAATTTGCACGCCATTGTGTCAGAACATATAGACGGGTTACAGCACAAGTTAAGCTTACCCTGGGGAGTAAGTACCTCTTTCATCACTTGTTGAGTAAGGCTCTTTGGATGTCAGTCAAATGACATTAAACCTCCACAATTATCTGTTCTACCTTATCACACTGCTTGTGCACTGTCAGACAATCTGCGTGACAGAACTCATACATGTTGATAGGATTTTAATCTGCTGAAAAATGGTCTTCTGGAAACTGTGTTTATTTAAACAACTAAACTGGAAAAAAAACAGATGTAGCAGCTGGCAAACCTTTAATTTCTGTAAGATGACTTGTCATTGATGGTATAGATTGAAAATTACGCTGGAAATATTTACAAGGTACTGTACATACTCAATTGTTTTTGAAACAGGTTTACTTGCATAGAGGCTTAAAAACTAGATAAATCTTCCCATCTGCTGCATCAGTTGTCATCAATGCTGAGCAGTTTGGGCTCCCTTGACTTAGTGTTTTTCTTTGCAGGGGAAACTGGATTCAAGTGGCCCTATGTTATCCTCAAGGCACAACGTTTAGGATTGTATCAGACATAAACCAGCGCCAGAGTGGGAAAGTGCACAGTGTGGAGCACTACACCCCTGCCTCCTCAATAGAAGCAGTTCTGGAGAATCCCAGCAAGAGGCTTTTCTACTTTGACAGCCAGTCAGGGTGAGTGGATCTGAGATATCATCAAACATCAGCAAGCCCGTCTCATTGGTTAACAAAGCAAACTGTAGGGAAAAAGTACTTATTGCCACCAGAATCAATCTGCTTAAATAACAGAAATAGATCAATCAAATTGTATTTCATCTACTTATAGACCATATCAGTGCAAAATTCAGGAGATCCCAAACAAGGTACTGTATACTGCAGTCAATTGTTTCTCATTCACTGATATTCCAGAATTTCATGGTTTTAATCTCAGGATCCTGGATTGGATGCATGAATTTGGTGCACCTTGGATATAAGGACAAGCATGTACATGCACTATATTATTGCACTAAATGAAGAAATTCACCTATTTGAAGATGTTCCATTAAAGTGGTAGTCTATCGGTCTATGCTGCCCTTAAGTTCTGATTGAGCAGACACAGATTACAGTAATAGACCTCAACATGCTGTGCTGCTATGTGTTGGAATATTCTTGAGGGATTTGCCAAGCTAAATTTCTATTTCACCATCTCCTGCATTTTTGTTTCATCAGCAGCATTCCAGTCTTACAACTATAAGAATTATTTCAGTACCGGGACGGTCACTTTTTGTTCTGTGTCCTTGTGCAACATAGTGGTTTTGTTTGATGCAGTGGTATGTGGATTTTAAATGAGAAACCTTACATCATTTCTGCCCTTTCCCACACCAAGGGCAGAGGGTAGTCTGCTCTTTGGTAAATTGGGACAGGGTCAGTTATTTTAATCCTTCATTAATGTGTGAGGAAAGTGTTTAATTACAGTGGCTGATGGTGACTGTGTGCATCACTATCCCGTTGCTCCTCAATAAGTAAAGAGCAGAGAGAGCAACCTAATGACTCATAGAGAACATTTTTTTTCTTTCCAGCTTTCAATTAAAAAGACATATAGCCACCACAGGGAATAAAGAACAGAGCAGTTCAGTCATGAGGGTGCACAAGCAAAGGAGGTACTGAACACGAGTTTCCCAGATTTGCAGGGTTAGTTCAGCCTAATTAATATGATTCACCACCTTCTCCTGATGGCCAGGTACCTCTTCCTGCACTTGCAAGCCAGTCACCCACGCAAGGGCCACAGCTACTGCTCCAAGCTTGGCTGCGAGAGAGTCAAGATTCTGGCACGCTCCGTTTCCACAACTCCCCAGGCCTGCCCGCCCAATCCCTTCCCGGTGAAGAGCCGCGGGATCCCTGCCAAGCGCCTCTGGGTTTCTCAGCGAGTGGGGACACCCTGCAGCCTGTGCGGCGCCCAGCAGGTATGGAGGCTGGTCCTGCAATGGCATCCTGCCAGGCTGTCAGCCCGTCGGGTCTGTTTGTTGCTGAAAGGTTTAGCGGTGTCGTCTCCCCATCTTCTCCCCAGCTCGGATGGAATCCTACAAAGCATGTTCCGAGCTTGGCACAGCTTACATTGCTGAATTTATCTTGAGCTTTTAGCAGTGTTAAAAACGACAGTGTTTTTCAAATTGCACACAGCAGATTTTGCCATTTGCTTATGTAAGTCTGAGAGGTATGTATTATCTGTTTGGCAATGGGATTGATCTGTCTCAGTCTCCTTTATCCTATCCTCCTTCGTGCCCTCCTGCCGGAGGCAGGGAGCTATGGGGAAGCAGGCAGCAGCAGTTCGTTAATCTTTGGGAGTTTTCAATCAGGTTTAGGCAGGACGGTGGGTTCACTCCTTAACTGCAATGAACAGTACTTAATAAACTACTACTGCTCTAATGCCATTATATTTTAGACCTTCAAAAAGTGAGCAATTCTGCAGAATTATACAATACAAAACAGACTTTCAGGATTATTAGTGTTCCAAGCACTATGTTGTGTATATTACATTGCTGGATATTTTTATTTGTTTGTTTATTTGTTGATGTTTTATGTGAACAGAAATAGAGTGTTTTTTCTGGCAAGAAATGATTAAACTGACTTTATTCTTTTTTCGGTCTTAGACCAATCATAGTTACATTGAGCCTGGTAGCATTCGGTAATGTTGTATTTAATTTTAATGTGATACGATACATACATACTTAGTTCTTACACTTGAAAGAAAAGTATCTTCTGCCTCTGTTTTTTGTGTTCGGTTCAGATATTTGTAATCATTAACCAGGTTTAGAAACCTTTGTGACCTATATTGTTATAGCACTTACAATGGGTTCTTCAATAAGTACATGCCTGTGTGGGAAATAAATTTAAAAATGATATTTTTAAAGAAACATATCCCTTTTTCTACATTGGGGACATTTTATTTATCTTTAAAAATATTTTTAGCTTATACATTTTTCAAAATGGAGCAAAACTCTACATCTCAGCCACTTCTGTTGTAAATGTATTAAGAGCATCCACTTTAGTAGAAATAATAAAAATGAGTTGTACAGTTTGCCACAGAATAATTGAAAATCTCAGCTGAATGGTTAAAAAAAGTGGGGTTTGAAAAGTTTTACTTTTTTAAAAAAAAGTCACAGAATTCTGAAAGGACTCATAGTCTGTTCTTCTAACTAATGTATCCTGTGATGACAAGTGAAGCTTCTTTATGTTTCCACTTCTGTTTCATTGATTTCCCTGGTTTTAACTGTGTGATCATAGGTTGCCATCTCCAGTGAGCCTTTCAGAGAATATGTGAGGGTGCAGGTTCTCTCACTCAGCAGAGCCAATATAGTAAATGGGCTAAAGTCTGCTTTCATTAAGGTAAGTGATCAAGGTTCATTATGGATGCCTTTTATATGAGCAAAGAGCTGTTTAATGATCTGCTGCTATATGAAGTATCTGACCATGAGACCAGGAGATAATAAGCTGCTTATTCTAATTAATTTTTAATATATCATTACTTGAAGGGGGCTTAATGAGGGTAGAACCTTACGTTCCTCGGAAGCTGGAAAATAATCTACACACAGAGCTGAAAGTAACATGATCTGCCTGGCTTAGAGTTCTTGTTACACCATCACTGCTTACAGAAGAGTTTTTCCAACACAGGCTAGACTAGCAAATCTGACATGTGCACTGTCTACACTTCAGATCCCCTGCTTTAACCCAGACAAGCCTCCAGACTTGGACAGGATCTAGATTTGGAACTGTCTGTGGAAAAGTTCTTGGTAATATTTCAAAATCCTTCTGTACATTAGATGAGTTAGTTAATTGACATTATCAGAGCAAATGTGTACTTGGTAGAAAACATGTTAAGAAGGATTAGAATGCTCATTGTGGAAACAAAAAGATGACAGTGTTTCAATATAGAGCTTGTAAAGTCATTGATGTCAAATTTCAAAATGTGTTCTAAAACTAGTTTTAAACATTCTAAAACATTTCTGAACTCTCAGCCACTAAAATAATCATATTCTTCTTTATAGTACAGAGGAGAGGTGCGCAGCAAGGGAAGACCAGTGAATTCTGTGCATTAATGTGGTAGAATGCATTGCACATGAATAATTTGACCTAGTTATATTACAGTGCCATAGCAGTCAATTAGATTTCATTACATGGGTTTTATGGGACCTGAGCATGTGGTTTGTGTGGATCTCTAAGGATGCCACGTCAACAATTATTGCTATTAATTTCCTGAACTGACGTGAAGAATTGAATCTTGACCAGGTCGTCATTGTAAATCAAAATTTGTTCTCTGTCGATTTATCTGGCTAAATAAAGGATTAAACTAAAAAATCAAAACGGCATCACTGTTAACAACAACTATTGTTTCTGGGTTACATTCAGTGTGTGACATGGAATAGATTAAAAAACATATATTCAAGTCTCTGAAGTAAGTTACTTAATTCAAAATTCCATGTTATAGCTGTAAACAAGTTACTTTTTTATCTTTTAGGTGAATGATGAAGTCTTCCTATTTAGAAAGCAAGGATTGCTTTTTGTGGTGGTGGATGCATGCACTGGAGAAATTAAAAGCAGGCGCCACTTTGAAATTCTGACTGTATCTCAAGCTTCCAGTGCTATTAACTCTTACATCATCTCTGCTGTCAAAGACAGGTCAGACAACACGCAGTGTATTGCAATAATGAGATACTCTATTTTATTGTTATCCATGGCCATCTGTTTTAATGGTGCATTAGGTTGCAGCAGCAGCACTTAAAGCCTAACAGGCCCACAGAGATCATAAAGCTTACTTTTTGTGCAACTGGGACTGTTAAGAGTGCAGCAAAAAAACTTGAGATAGAAACTTTCTTTTCAATTTTTCATGCTCAAAAATCTCTGTCCTTCCAAAAATATAATGCTTTTTTTCCAAACTCAAATTTGACTTTCATGCATAGTATTTGCTCTTGATTTAAGACTTCTGATAGTTCTTAATGTATTTCACAGAACTACATCTGCATGAAATAATATTTAAATTTTCCCCAATGGATTTGCATCTATTGCTGTACCACTGATTCTCTTGATTCAGTGTTTTGAATTGACTTGGTGCAGAACGCAGAGGGACAGCATATTAGAGAGTTTGATATAAATTGTCTTTTGTAACTTTGTGCTTGTCTTCCTGTGTGTTAGGTCAATAGTTCTGGTGTGCTCCAGAGATATCAAGGATCTGCCCAGAGACTCTGGGATTCCTGCCTTTATCAAGCTAGGCTCTTCAAAGCCTATCGGCCTCTTCAGGAAAGGTGATGTAATGGTTAAAGGAAAGGTCTATCTTTTTCAGGCAGGTCTATGGCTGAATATCCTGACTGTGATCTGAGCAACCACCGGCACTCTCTCTGAAATAGGAGTGGCACAACTCGGTCTCAGCAAGTGAATAAATGCTTTGTTTTTTTTACAAACCAGCTTGCAAAAAAGAGCAAACGCTCCTCTGCATATTGTGAGAAACAGCTACTGTGTTTAAACGTCTGCCTTTTTTGTAATAAAAGGCCACGAGAAAAAGAGCTTGAAAATGCAAGTGTGCAAGCATTGTTCATTAATGATTTATTACCCCTCTTCAGTCCAACTCCTTCTGTTGAGCCTTTGGTCTTCCTGAATGAATGCCCGAATGAATGAACTAAGGGGGAACTACTGTAGCTTTAAAATAGAGTTTTGGAAATCCATTGTGTTTCTGTTGTAAGAGCACTTTCATGCTCACTTTCCTTGTTTGAATGTGATGGTGTCACCTAGGCTGGAGCACTGTTCTGTGTGCTACCAAGTAGTGGAGTTAATGGGTTTTTAATATTGATTCAACCAGCTGTATATTAGACCCTTTCAAATTGTACTGTACGTGGAGTCCAGCCTGAATCAAGGCGCATGTCATTCAGATTTCACAGACCTAAAAGAGGCAAAACCTCTTTCATTTAGATATTCTAATTTAAAATATTAAACAATGACATTTACAGTTGTCTATCTTCACTACAGACTTTGGCCTTACCTCTCATATGCTCTTTTAGTTTTGGCTAAAAGACAATACTGTGCAGAATTGTGTGCCAATAGGCCTGTGTTCAGCTTGGTTTCAGGAATACAGTTTAGTAAAAAAGGATTGGGCTATTCATTCCTCATTGAGCCGAAGGAAAAATAAATCCGGCAATAATGAAACAGGTCAAGCAAGTGTTTTACGTGCACTTGAGTTGTCGTCTTAATTAAATGCTGGAGGAAAAGGAAGTGAAGAATTAGAAAACCTGGATTTAAAATACAAAGAGGTTTTGCCTTCCGTGAGCCAACAGAATTTGAATTAGCCCCAATCATTTGGTGTTAACGAAAAACGTCACCGTTAATTTCCTCTGTTTAGTGTATTCCAAAATGGTTCAGCTAGACTTAAGAGCTAGGATACCCATTCGCAGGCCTAGTCCAGAGGAAGAGAAGTGCAGCTGGTTAACTACTCAGCCAGTCACTGAGTATTAACTGCTACTGTATAACTCTACTCAAATCTCTTTTTTCTTTTTCTTTTTCTTTTACAGGAAGCTTTGCTTTGTTGGGCTATAGAGGCCAATCTAAACCATCTTGGATTAAAATAGTAAATCGATCAAATGGAAAAGAAGCTGCCTCCATTCAGCACTATGTTCCTCTCAGGCTGAAGGAGTACAAGTGCCCTGGCCAGGGCAGAGAGTACCGGAAAGATGAAAAACTCCTGAAAGGATTACTGCAGCAATGCCTCACCGGGGCACCCCTGTGTGGATAATGGCATTCCATCTTTTCTTTTCGTCACTTATATCATTACAACTGTATGTATTGAAAAAAAAATAAATATATTCTTTCTAAACTGATGTGATGTACTGTGTTTCATTTTATTTGTGTCTGCTTCTTTCAGTTTTATTTGTGAAAAGTAATTTTCTGATTACTTGCACCTATTGTAAGTGTATAAACTAATTCTATTTTTAAAGTAGCAAGTACAGTAGTAAGTATGTCTGATCTTGTTTTAATATTAAAAAATTGAATGTCACTCTAAGGAGCACGTGGTATTCTGTTCATGCCTGGTTTTATTTAAAGCACAAGCTAATTAAGCTTTTTGTGTATCAGTGTTATATTAGAATAGCCCTGGGGCTCATTCGGCTGGTATTAGTCTTGAGACTGTGAAGGGGTTGACAAGTATAGTCTTTATTAGTGTATTGGGGTCAATGATTTAGCTCTGTGGATGCTGGGCTGGATTTAATTTTGGGCAAAGCATAACTCCATCACATCTCTGGAAGCCACTTGAGTTTTGATTAATTGATTCAATGGGCCATGTCAGCATTTTTTATTTAGTCCTTCTTTTAATGAGATAAATCAGTTGAAAACAAATTCTTATTTGCAGTGAACTGTAATACAATACCCATTTTACAGCTGAGTATTTACAGGAACAAGTCTGGATTAAGTGCTTAACTCACAAATCCAGGCACTGTCCTACCTGAGATCTGATCCCATTATCCTCCAGTCAAGAGCCCTGATCACTCCTGCTCACTGCTGCCCCCTATCATAGGCTCTCATAATATCACAACCCAGAATCTCCTGCCTTTCACTCCAGAGGATTCAAACTGTAGTGCCAAATATCATATGTGTAAAGAACATGGTTTCCTTAATTGTTTTGGGTGGATACACGTGTAACTACGTATAAGAGCTCAAGTATTCAGCTGTGCTGCAGTTTATACATTTGTAATATTAAGTAGATGGTTTTCTAGAGTCTGTAACCTAAAAGACATCAATATTTTTCTAGTTAAACTAACTTAATTTCTTTTTGTAGCTCAGGTGGTTATCTGCGTCAGCATGCATAGGCTGCAAAGGAATAAGTAATAGGTTTATTCCATGCTGAAAAGAGAAGAAAGAAAACGCAAGGTTTCAGCCGTGGAGCCTTCTTCGGGTGTGAGAGTATCATTCTTTCTCATACCCGAAGAAGGCACCACACCCGAAACGTTGTGTTTTCTTTCTTCTCTATTCAGCAAGGAATAAACCTGTTACTAATTCCTTTTTCAATTCAATTTTTACTCCATGTCATTGACACATTAACAAGTTTCTTCAGCAGTTACATAACGGTTTATTTAACCATAGCAGAAAATGTGTATTTGTGTTATTAAAATGTCTTTTTTTTCTCCTCTGAGATATTCTTTGATCGTAGAATAAATATGGAGAATATGCTTTTGCTTCAGCTCTTTGAAGATTTCTCCCTAAAAATGTAAATGTTTAAATCATAACTTCACATGAGAAAAACATGTTTAGTGTTGCCTTTGAATTGAATGACTGGAATGGTTGAGTGTGTGTAAAATCTGAGTAAAATAATTATGAGCACAAAAAGATCCATGAACAGATGATTATTTTGGTCCATCGATTAGAATCTGTCGAGTTACACACCTGGATGTTGACTGTTCCCTAATGATCTAACACAATTCCCAGAGACAACACAATCTGCATTTAGCAAAACTGTTTCCCTTTCAGGTGCCTTGAAACACATGCAAGAGCTTGAATTCCATTTCTGTGCAAGATCACACTCGGCGGCGTGAAAATGAGGCTCTGCATCGCAATACTTCTTGCAGTACTTATCCCCAGTTATAAAGCTGGTAAGTGCATGACAATATGCAGTTTTTGTGATTTTCAGAAAGTTAACCGGCTTTTAATTGTTTTATCGCAAACTGTAATTTATATTTGTTTTTCATTTACTTACAATTTTCTTCCTGTATACAGCCTAATATAGTATAAATTAGAATATGTTTTTATTTTAATGTTATTCTCTCTGTTACCTTAAAGACTGTGAGGGAGAAGAAATAGTTGTTTTTCTTCTGATTCCTTTAATCTTCAGAATGAGACACAGTAGAACTATGTTTAGCACATGTGCACTTGAGAAAGAAAGTGTGGGCTCAAACGTTGGTTTGAGCTCAGTCTACGTTAAGAGTCATTTTAATTTGGTTTCCTCCTTTGTAGTAAGCTGTAACAATTTAAGAGGAATATATGAAGCAAATACCTGCAATCTGGAAAAGAACTACCATAGCTGCTCTGCAAAAAAGCATTCAGGCAGAGGCAACAACAACATTTAGAAGTGCACCGCACTGAAACAAGTCACTGTGTTGCCACGTAGGAAATGAAAAGGGGGGAAGAGACACTCTGAATGTATGAGTTACTGGGCAGACTGCGAGCTCCAGCAATATAGTCTAGCATATTTTTTTCTTATTCTTATTGTTTTCATTGGTAAATAAAATCAGATCTTGGACACCGATGAACTAAGAGATGAAAGTTATATACAGTATTTCTCAATCTATGTTTTGTTTGTTTCTTTTCTGCTGAATACATTTTATAGTAATTGCAAACAGAAATAACATAAAACATAAGGTTGTTCCACATAATTCCAAACATTACTATTATCCAACTTTCAAAACCATGAACACGCACACTGGATTGAAACTCAAGCATTCAATCGCTGATATTCTTATGATATGTGTTGGTGCTAGGCAGTGTGCATTTCTCTGATGTTTTAAATACAGTATTGTCAGTTGCTTTTACGTTGGGGGTAACCTCAATATTTACTGGTCTTGGAAATACATTTTGGAAAATGAGGAGGGTTTAAGGAGTTTAAAAATGTGAAAGGCTTTTGGTTTTGTTTCTTTTTAGCACAGGCATCTCTGTGGCAGAGGATTTCTTTAGTTGGTATGAGTCAGGCTATTTTGATCCCTACTGGGCAATTACTGACCGTGTGCTTGCCTTTTTCCATCATAGTGTGGGTTGAAAAGTTGTCTCAATACATTAAGACAGTGTCTTAAACTGTGATTTACCATGTTTTGCCATGCTGTACACCAAAAAGGCCATTGTTGGTGAAGAGACTCATCCTGCCTGACATTTGTCTCAGAGTCTCCCAGCTGGTTTATGCTATGGATATGCTGACTTCCTTTTTTGAATATATTTTCAGATATACATTATGTAAGTGTCTGTGTGCATCGGTGTGTTTTTCAACTGCTATTAAGCTGATTCCCAAAGGTTTCAGGATCAGTTTTTATCCTGAAGCCGTGCAAACTATCTCATATTACAGCTTGTGTAAGTTTGTAATAGACTTTAAGTATGTATGACATGTTAGCATGTGAACTGAAATGTAAACTGGAATTCGATTTGAATGGCTACTGTATCTGCAATATCAGAGCAAATCAATTTGAGTGTTCTGTGTCACTTGGCGACAAAGTATCTGCATGTGTATTCTAAAAGGCTTGGTGAAAATGCTGTTAATGATGTCGGTCTGAGCCTTCTTTTCTTATCCCTCTGAAAAATTCAGAAAAATTCATTTATTTATAAGAAACAGCATTCAGGGGTTACCCATCAGTCAGACTTTATGACTTATGTTGTGAACTTCATCCAGCCTTCATCAGATGCTAAGGAAAAAGTTAACAAGCTCCTCAGTTTGCCTGTAGCTTGCATATTTTTCCAAGTCCATCATTTCCTTTTTTTATTGTGGAATCAGAACAGTGCGGCTCTTGGGGATATGGTGAACTTCAAGTCCCAAGTGTGAAAGATGAAACATTCAGAATGACATAAAGAGTTAAATTACCTGTATACCTCTTCTGCAAAACCATCTAGTATTCTGACCTGTTTATTATAAGAATATTAAGTCCTGTTGGGCCTGGAAGGCTGTCCGATATACACTTTGTACTGTGTCTGTGTGCGTGGGTGTGTTTTTCAAGTGCTGGCACATGTGCTGAATCCACCCAGTTATTATAGTTATTATGCTGACTGGCTGCAGGACTGTCATGAAGTACAGTGGCCACTTTAATTCACTGCATGTCATTAGCAAATTGTCCACCCAAAAGAACAATTATAACTCCACTAAGGCTCTGTCAACAATGTCCATTTATTAGGCTTTTTGCAACTTGTAGCTTTATAGCTGTCTATTTGTCTAATAGTGCTACATACCATTGATTTTCATAAAATGCTGTGGTTAATTATAGTAAATTGCCTTGCAGCTTGTCCACATGAAGATACAGAACTTCAGATGTGGAATCCTGGTCATAATGAAGCCCACCATGTCTTCATTGGAAATGGCAGGCAGCTTCTTCTCAGCTCCTCTGCCACTGTCCACTCCATACGGATCTCTGATGGAGGTACTGCACGACACGACTGCACAGAAGCTGTATTGTTGTAATGCTGTTCAGAAATGGAGCTCCTCTGTTTGATCACTTGTGTTTGCATATTAATTGGCTGAGTTTGTTTGCTTTACAGGAAAGCTTGTGGTGGCTGACACCAAGCAGCCAATCGTTCTGCGAACCAAACATATTCTCATTGCAAATGAAGGGGAGCTTCACATTGGCAGTGCAGACTGCCCCTACAAAGGCAACTTCACCATAGTCCTATACGGAAGGTATATTTTCATTGCGTGCTTTCTGCTAAAATTGACATCAACATCTGCAAGCTGATGAGTATCAAAATGCCACATCTGGCAAAAGCATATCAAAATGCGGTTAAGAAAAGGAAGAACTGTATGTATAATGCCAAAGGGACAAAATTGAATAATCTAATTCATCCCTCTGCTGTCTTGTCTGTGTTCCACAGGTCTGATGATGTAGATGCTGAACACAGCTATTTCGGTCGCAAGTATATCGGTGTTGGCACAGGAGGCACGCTGGAGATTCACGGGGAAAAGAAAATAGCTTGGACATTTTTAAACAAAACCCTTCACCCAGGAGAGACGAATGAGGACAGCTATCAATTTGAAAAGAGCTGGGGGAACCGAGGCATTATTGTACATGTCATCGACCCTCAGACTGGGGAGGTGTTGCACTCTGACAGGTGAACCCTGCTCCATGTTCTTCTCTCTTGACGTTTGTGCAGGATGTTTTTGCAAGATGGTGTTTTTCTCTGCTATTTTCATGTGGGATGTTTTGGTGCAGTGCTTGGGAGACCATAAAAAAACATTTCAATCTGAACTTCAGTAAGAAAGTAGAAATAGCTCATCCAAACTGGCAAAGTTCTGTAGCCGCACATTTATATTATTGGATTTAGAGTCAAATATATAACACATGTTTTAGTTTTGGAACATTGTCATCAACTGTTTGTTTTGTTTTCTTTTCTACCATTACACACTTCTTCTTTTCAACTCCTGCTATTTCAGGTTTGATACTTACAAGAGCAAGGATGAAAGCCGACGCCTGGCCCAGTATGTGGACTTGGTAGAAGATGGCATGATTTTGGCTATGGTGGTCAACGATGAGGGTTCCAATAACCTCGAAGACTTGGCCAAGAAGAGTTTGGCAAAGCTAGGCAGCAGGCAATTCCATCAACTCGGATTTCGGTGTGTGATAGTTCTGTTGTTGTTGCTCAACATAAGCTGTACCCGCATGTTGCACAATACATCCTTTTTCTAAACCTCCTTATTCAGTACTGGGAGCCAAAGCCCATCCTAATGGGCTCAAGACAGGATACACACTAGATGGAAGGCCAGTCCATCGCAGGGCATACACAGACACAAACACACACCAAGGCTAATTTTACATAAATCAATTAACTCACCAGTATGTCTTTGGACTGGGGGAGGAAACAGGAGAACCTGGAAGAAACTCACACAAACTCAAGCAGAGCGTACAAAATCCACCTCAGGACTTGAACCCAGGACTGATGAAGCAGCAATGCTAACCACTGTGCTACTGAGCTACCCGCATTTGCAATGCATCACATTCAGGCTTGATTTATGTGATGTTGAGATCCTTGCACAGTCTTCTGCACTTTCCCATGGATAGATTTCTAAGATGTGCAGGTACCAGGAACATGTCTGGTGTTGTTTTCTTGCCATAGGGGTGGTTTTCTCTCAGTAAGTACGGTAAATAGAGGATCATAATGACAGCACATTAGGAAAAATATGCAGTGTATTCTAGCACACAATGTCCAGAAACGGCACTGCTTTTCAGGAATACAAGGATTGTAAATAGATGGTGTTGTGATACAAGGTGATGGTTCAACTGTTATTTAAATACAAGGTGATTTTTGCACGAAAGACAGTAAAATCACAAAAGATTAGCATAAACATGCAGTTTTGTTCCAACCTTTCTAAACTAGTCTTATATCTTCATTTTCCTTTGCAGTGTTCTCACTTTTTGTTTGACGGCAACAGAAAGTTCCCCACTTAAAAAGTCCACTTAGTAGTCGGAGATCTAAGATGCTGTGTACAGTGCTCAATCCCAGCAGTGGTGCATAACCAGCACACAGAAGGCCTGGCAGCAGTATCACAGCTGCTGTGTAATGAAAGAGGATGTAGGAAGTCCAAAGCAGGATAGGCCCAGGGAAATGCTCACTCCAGCTTCCTACAAACTCTCGTCTAAACGTTTCCACATGAAACCTTGACATAGACAGCGGCTTCAGAAAAAAACTGCTTTCCAGTTTACCTTCTGTTCTCACTGACTTGCCAAGTTTTAAAAGCACAGAGGAGAGAACCCGATAGTGTAGTAGTTTGCCTTAACAGAAAAAGTAAAAAAGCAACAAACAGATTTTTGGATTTTCAGTATATGATTAGCGAATCCCAAATTGCTGATATGAACACAGGGAGTAAAAATGATTTTGTTAGTACAAGTCGTCTCTTCTTTTGAAAATTGTCAGATTTGTTCATTGTCTTTATATTTATATAATACCTGATTTGTATCCATATTTACTTTTCTATACTACTTTGCAATGTATAAAGCTTACAGTGGCCATGTTTAAATATCACTGAGGAAAATCATTCCTGTTGATTCTGTGTCGGCTGACTCCATTAAGCCTTTTTTATTTGTTTTGCTTTGTTGTTTTCCATTCATTCCTTTTCATCTCATTGTCTGACCAGACTAGTGGAACAGTAACAGAAACATTTACCTCTTTGGTTCTTCAGGTACCCCTGGAGCTTTATTACAGTCAAGGGAGACGTCTCCTCATCTGTCGAGGATCATGCCCCCTATCAAGGTGAATGGTTCGGCACTTTTCCCCGTTCATAATGTGAACAAATCCGACTTCTGGAGTCTGCTTACGCTACTGTATTATTGGAATGTGACATTTTGCCTCCTGAAACCTTTGCAGGAACCAAAGCCTCATCGGAAGCCAAAACATCAAAGGTCTTCCAGTCTGCATATGGAGAACACTTTACTGTCACGGCAACAAGCCAGTGGATTCAAGGTGAGGCATGAATTTCAGAGGGTTATTTTTCTGATCACCGGTTATTCTCAGGACTTCGTGAAGGTTCCACTCAGAGCATAGCAAGGAGACCTCTAGGTGACTGACCCCATCGCAGAATTTAAAGAATCTGATGCAGTATTCGCCTTGCAATTTGTGAAAGGAACAATTCATTACTGTTTTTATTTTATTACTATTAACTTGTTTGGCGGAGGCTTTTTATAAATACTAAATTATATTTGTTTCTATACATTTATGTTGCTCAATGGAACAACAGCACTGCCCCATCAAAGATTTGAACCCAGTACATTCCAGTATGATTCCTGAGCTCTTACCTCTTTTCATTCTACGGCCAACTTTAAAGACAACTTTTAAAAACTTTAAAAAGCTTGGTCCCCTTTTCCTGTTGCTAGATAATTATTAATAACAATCCAAATAATCATAAATAAATATGTTTCTTAAATCTTTAATTTGATCAGACAGCCAAGTGACCAGCTACTGTAGGGTCTGCCTGTTGTAATGCAAAGCTTCTCTCGTCTCTGCTCTCTTTTTTATTTGAATTTAACAATTAAGTGTGTGTAGGGCCGTAATGTGTGGTAAAGGAAGATGTTACACAAAGATCCCCTGCAGGTGAAAATGAACTGGATGTACATTGACTGTGCTGTTCAGTAAATTGTAAACCAATAAAATATCTTTGGAAATTGAAAACAAAAAAGGCCAAGCATGGAATCAACAGTTCCAAATATCTCCTGCATGCTGGGTTGGTACTGTGCCATGTGATAGTTTTATCACAGCTATCTAGAGAGCAGGGTCTGCTCTGTGCTGTGTGCTGAGTTGAGCCCTGTCCTCCAGCAGCCTTGCTGTATCTTCCCCTTTGTTGAAGTGTCTTGGACTCTCCCTCAGGATCTGAATGGACAGAGTGGTTTGACCGTGATGATGAAAGGGGCTCTGGAGACTGGGAAAAGCTGGCTGACCTCCGAAATGCTTTCCCTGACAAAATCTGCGCCAACCCCCTGGATATTGAGGTACCCCAGATGATAGTTTTCAATTAAGAAGCAGCTCATGTTTTAAACAAAGCAACCCCAGAGTATTTTGTAATAGTGGAATTAATTTCTTCAGGCTGCCCTATTATGATTATAAGGTTAGAGTATTAATCAGAAAATGTAAACCTTTTAAATATTTTTCCCTTAATACTGTAAAGTAACAATCAACATCAGCAGGAATTCCCATTGCATATTAAGATAACTTTATTAGTTTTTTGTGAAATCCTGGTGTGACACGTGAGTTGTGTCAGGGACTAGAAAACAGCTTGACTGACAGCACTTCGCTGAGTTCATTTTCTCCACTTCAGGCAGCCACTCACGATGGAATCGCTTCCAATCTGACAAATGAGGTTTTCCACAAGATTGACAAGGATTACGGATTTGTGTGTCTTAATAAAGATCAGCCCAATGGGATCTGCAACAACTACAAAGTGCGCTTTCTCTGCGGAAAGCTTGGTATGTATGGAATTCTGGCTCCCAAGTTGTAGGCTTTATCACAGGATAAATCAAAAGTGTTGCCAATATAGTGACTTAATGCACTAAATGTAATCTGACACTAAATTTCAAAAGTGAAAAATCAAAGACCTAAAGACTTGGTGTGTTGTTTTTCTGGGATTAAAGTGTTGTCACATGATATGGTAGAGTATGTAACGTGACTTGGACTCCTTGGCTAAGAAGAAGATCCATGGGTGTGATATAGGTAGTCATGAGTTCAAACCCAGCATGTTAATTAATTGGGTGACTTCCTTCATGCTGGTCCTTCAGCCAGCTGCAACAACTGCTTCAGGGAAACCCATGGTCTATCACATTCTCCCCTTGAGCCAGAACTAGAAAGCCTGAAGTAACCCACCAGCAGGAATCACAAATGAGCAAAGTGTCTAATAATATACACAGCTGTAAAATGGGAAAACTCTGGGAAATAAACACATTTAAATAACTGCATAGTTTACTGGCCTGCATTCTTTCGTGATGCCAGAGCTGGCAGTCCCAAGTCTTGGGAAGAGTGCCTTGAGGGTCTTCAATATCCAGATGTAATAAGGATCTTTCAGATGAACACCTAAAATAGCAATAACCCTTTATATAGCACAGGCCAGCAGTTGTTTTGTAGTGGGTAGTTAAAAATGTTCAAAACACTTTTTCAAACAGTTAGTATGGCAAAGTGCACACCAATAAATACTGTTTAGTAAAATACTGATTAATAATACTGTTTAATCAGTTTTCAGGGATATTGCCTTCAATTCAGTTACTGGGTTTCTAATTTATGACTACAGTTTTGAAAATGTAATGTGGCATAGGTCTGAAACGAAATTGTTTCCCGATCCAACAGCACAAAGCAGTTACTGTTCTGGTTCATGAATCACAGAACCATTAAATGGCTTTTACATTCTATACTGCTGTCTTTCACAACTAATATGTTGAGAGATTTGCTGCTTTGATATCAGTGTGGAAAAAGCTTTTTTCCTGACATACATTTACATGTGGTGTATTACTCTTGAGCTACCTGCAACATTTATGATATGATATTATATGGGTTTGCTGGTCCACTGGCTAGTAACAATTTTTAATACATTTTGCCTTTAAGTTAATTGAAGCTCACAAAATGAATTGAACAACGATAGTTGTTCTTAACACCAAGATTGACATAATAATGCATCCAGTAGCTTGAAGTGTGCAAATATATGATTGAAAAGCTTATATATTGTTGTCTCAACATATGGGGCAAAGGCATAGATATTCAGAAAGGAGTAGAAAAAACAAATTTCCCTTATAGACACACATTACTGAGGCCAACGAGATGTTTGCCCTGAGTTAATTGAGCACAGGTGTGGATGCCTGTGCTCAGGGTGTATAAAGGGAGGACAAAGCTGAGCTAAGGGCCTTTTTCATTGATCCCAAATTAGACTGAGGCTGGTTTGGCACAGTTTGATGGTCACATAAGGAAGGATTTTTTGAAGAAAATCTTGATGGACTTAAATTATTGAAAGAAAAAAAAGATTTGTGTGATATGTAAACATTGGTAATTGGATTAGCCTTCCAGGTTAAGATAAGGAAAAGCATTGGTAGAGCTCCAGCAGAAGGAGCAAAAGTTTCTTTTTTGTTTTGAGGGCTGAAGTCTGGTGGTGTTTAAGATATCCAGAAAGCCCTGCTAATCAGACAAGAAAATACAGGATTACCGTCCATATTAAAAGCAGCAGTGTACAGTCACATCCATCTTGCCAGAGGACAAGCAAAAAGAGCCTTAGAGAGGTGGCCAGCACCCAAAGTTGTCACAAATATACAGGAGGTTCAAATGATGAAGCGTCTCAGGTCATTTCAGACAAACTGTCTTCTTCAGCTGTTTAGAAAAATAAAATCTTGTGTTAAAGTCTTGTGTAAAGTGCTAAACCTTAGTACTTTAGCTTTCTGTCTACACCTGCATTCATCTTTGAAGTAAAAGGATAAAAAAAAGTCTCAGACTTTTATTTTTGTACAGTTTGATTAATACTGCTTGGAAACATTTTCTCTTGTGTTGACTCTAATGGCAGTGAAGCCCCAGGCATCTATAACAATCGATACCCACTCCAACACCACGATCCTGGAGCTGGCTGATGACAGCAGAACCTGGAAGGCAGGAGACACCATTGTGGTGGCCAGCACGGACTACTCCATGTACCAGGCAGAGGAGTTCACCCTCCTGCCCTGCCCCGGCTGTATGGCCAACCAGGTCCGAGTGCAAGGTACGTCACCAGAGAGTTACTCACAGGGCTTGACCCTGTGAACAGTAATGGTCATAATAAAATTGAATTTGTCGGTAAAACATTTTTTTTCATGTTCCTATAATCTGTTTTCCTTATTGTCATGCATTTATTTCAGTGTTCCATACACTCAACTTACTGTTTCCGGTGCCTGTATGATTCTTAGCAATGCCATTGAAGGAGTATTCAGACAACATTTTAAAAAGCTGGATAATGAAGTTTTATAGGACAAGCAATGATTTAACCCTACGTTTACTTTATTTTCAGTATTAAGACAGAGAATGAGATACAATATAGTCAATATAATTTATTTTGACACTGTGCCTCAGTTTTTGAATGTTGTCCTTTGGGGAAAAAATAACTCACTTGGTTCAAATAGGCTGATAAAAAGCAGTTTCCTTGTGTTTTTCCAAGCTGTTGGTTGACATGCCTAACTGGGTGTCAGTTCTCTTGCACATTTCTTACCTCATGTTTCTTGGTCCCATGTGCTCTCTTATACCACACCATGTAGGAGGGAAGGAGCAATCCAATTAGGTTTGCAGAGTTTGAGACAGAAGCTAAAATTAGTGCAACTAGAAATTCAGTTAGATGAGAATCTTTATAACAGCCAGCACATAGATTTGCACGTCAGTTTTCAAAGCCTGCGTCAGATCATGATGCTCCCTGGAGTTGATTGCTCTGGAGCAGCCCGTGGAAACCACTAACCCCTGGATGGCCTGCAGGCTCCTGAGCTTCCAGAAGGCCTGGGAATATTGCTGGAGTTGCTGGAGGGGACGCCGGGCTGCTGTGGGATGTTTTGTCTTTCCAGTGCTGTCCAAGAGGAAGGGAGGAAAGAATCCGGGAGGTCTGCACACAAAAAAATAATTGTAGAACTTGAAGGAGGAAAAAGGTCTTACTGACTTTTTAAAGAGTTTACCTTCCTGTTTGGTGATCACTAGGAACCAATTTAAGAATCCTGTCCAGCCTGACTTTTTTCTGGATATTGAGTTCAACAGCTTGGGAAATAGAATCATAACATGAACATTATGAGGGTTGGCAGGAGCTCTAGGTGTGAAAATATGTATGGTTCCACAGTACATTGTTTGACAAAGCACAATTTTACCCTGTAACTGCAATTGTGAAAATTCTCAAAAATCTCACTGGGGTGTAAGTCTGAAATTGCAAAAACTTTTTGTTTTTCCTACTTGGGGACCTTTCAGAGAAAAAGAAGCTATCTGATAAGGACTGTTTTTACATAGAACTACTGATGCAGTAAATGTTAATGCAGTGTAAGCACATATTTAAGACATCTCATCTCAGTGATCTTTTAAAGCAACTTGGAAGTCTTGCTTTAATCCTATGGTGGACTTATTTTGGAAATACTCTTTAATTAATTCCATTCTTGAAAGCATGTCTGAAAGTATAACCATAATGATAAGCCCTGTTTTTAGCAAGCAGCATAACCCTCACTTTACCTGCCACATATTAAACTTAGAACTTGGAATACAAAGTACAATCTACTTTTATCTAGGCATTCTTGCTTTAGTTGTCTGAACACTTTCCCTTTCAGCCTACTTGTTACTGTTTGAAGATACATTACTAAAGATTTATTTTAATTATTCTTTAGAAATGTATTTTAAAGGGGAACTGCAGTCCCAATTTCTTAGATCCGTTAATAAATCATTAAACATTATAAAAGAATTTTACAAATTTTTAAATAAACACAAGACTGTGAACTTTGTACTGTTAGTCGCCATGTCGTCACAAACCTCTGGTCTCACCACGGGAGAGAGCGAGAGTTCCCATAAATTGTGACATGATGTGGCCCTTTCTGCTCACTAGTCACTGTAAGAGCCAATGTAATATGATTAACAAGTGAATAATTACAGGTAGTGCAGCCAACATTTCACTGTAGAAAGGTTCCAAAATGATGTACTTGCAGAGTTAAAAAGTAAGTAGTATTTATAGATAAAACCAGGTCAAAGTCGAGAGCAATATTTCAATTGGATTAAAAGAAATGTTTTCACCAGCACCCTTACAGTGTATTAGGGCTGCTTCACATCACCAGACATTTTGTTGCCTCATTATGAATCGCAGAATATGGTGCTGTGCATAACTAAAAATTTAATCTATTTTGTGTTACAAATTGGAGGTTTTACAAGTTACTGTGCACATTTGACTTTTATTGTGGTTTGAAATGCACTCATTAATACTGATTCTTTCTAACTCTGAAATATAAAAATAGCATTACAGTTCTCCCTTGAACAGTTGGTTTTGTGTATTGAGCTTTTTCAAGTTATTGTTCCGTTTAAAGTCATGTTTATAAGCAAGTCAGATGGAAAATAAACCTCAGGTTATCCATTTTCCACTGCCAATTGATACCAAATCACCCATTATCTTAATTACATAATTCTTCCCAGTTTCCTTTTAAATAGAGTCAGCTAATGGGAGATTGCAAAACAAACAGAAATGAATGAATTGGTTATTGCCATTGCACTGCTTTGTGTACTACAAAAATCAAATTCCATCCCTCCATTTTCCAACTGATTTACCCAATATAGTGTCACAGGGAAGCTGGAGCCTTTCTTGGCAAATAACAGGCAAAAGGCAGGATAGCCTTTACAGTGGTCTCCCTATCTGCTCCCTAAAAAACGTCATATGGTCCAAAACTCAGTTGCTCGACTTATTTTCATTCAAGGCTCTGTGAGTGTATCAACCCAATAATGACACGTCTTCATGGCTCCCCTTTGGACATTCAGTTCAGAAGTTTTGTTAAATGTTATAGCCCTATATGCCAAACCCCCACAATACTTGGCATTTCCCTTTTCTCCCTTTGTAGCAGGCAGAGCCTTCCATCTGCTGAGACACATCTTTAAGTACTGTGGTACTTTCTTACAGGTACAAGTGTGGGGCACGTGCTATCAGTCACCTTGCTCCAGAGCTCTGGAACCCTGCCACCCTGTGATTAATGAAGACTCTTTTACAGTTTTTATATCTAGACACATCTGTTTAGTCAAGCTTTTAAGTTGTCTGTTCTTTATCTCCATCTTTATTTCTTCATTTCTGTTTAAGGTTTTGTTGATTTTATTGCACAATTTTTTGTGTGATATTGGTTTTACGCTGTAAATTGCCCCAAAGCACTTTTGGTGTACATGGGCTCTAAATTAAATCCTTGTAATTCTTGATACACCCTTGGCCAGGATACACACTCAAAGTAGGGCCAGTTTTATCCCAAACCAATTAACTTGCCATTATTTCATTGGTCTGTGGGAGGAAACCAGAGCACCTGGAGGAAACACACACAAACACAGGGAGAACATATAAAATATAAATTCCACACAGATAGCATCCCAGATTTGGAACCCAGGGCCCCAGCATTACAAGGTACACTACAACTACAAGAGATTTGATTATTTTTAAACATTCATGCTGGCCACTGAAAACAGCTCTCCAATTTTTTGTTAAATCTTCATCAGGGATGGATGTTCTGCAGTTAAACAGTTCTGTAGCAATTCAACCATTCGGTCACAATCTCTATTGATCAGAAGTAGTTTTTTTTCTTTTATGCCACTGCAACAAGAGTGGCTTCATTCATTTTCTGCTTTTATTTTAAACAGATTTTCTGATTAAAAGAACTTAGCTGGAGGTCTTTAGTATAGTGTAAGATATTTTAAGTCATTCAAAGTATTATACTGTAGCAAATTAATTTTGTAAAGTGATTTTTTTTCTCACAGGTTACAGATTATCTAAATTCTGCCATATATGTGATGCATGGCAGGGTACTACTTAGGACAGTGTTTAAATCTCTATTCTCATTTCTCTGTAAAACATGGGGAAATCAAATGTTTCCCTAATTTAAATGGAAAATCTATTAGTGTTACTAGGTTTCCTAATGTGAATTAAGACAAACAATGTCACCCTTTGTGCAAGTTTTGCTTTACTGAAACTCTAGAAGAATACTTTATCTTTATTTTTTCACCATTTTATTCAAAGTTGCATGTAATTTTTTCTGACATCTTTCCACTTGGATGAGATTTTGTCTGTTTAGAGAGCAGACAGCTCTGTCTTCTTTTTATTCCTCTTGAACATAACATATTACATTAATCTGTCCTTCTTACTCTGTTTTTTTATGTTACAATGCAGTACTGCCTATATTTGCCCTGCAGTGATACACAATTAGGAACACTTGTCAGTCTTGGCTGTTAAGAGTGCTTCAATAGAAAAATGAAATTGCCTGTGGTTATTTTTGTATTTTTTGAGAGTTGCTTCTGGCTGTAGCAAAGTTGAGGCTAATTACTAAGCCATGAAACATCTATTGACATCAGTGGACTTGCTTGGATGCAGAACAGCACAACCTGCTTGGCATTAACCCCTCTGTCGTTTGAAATCTGATATTTAATGACTTAGGAAAGAACGCAGATGAGCATTTAATAATTTTAAATTCATAATTTTAGTAACGCATTCAGGAAGCTGAGGACCAAGTGCCTATGTGTCTCTGAGTACAAAAAACTGTTTCCCTGCTGAAGAAATCCAGTCCTAATCATAGCCGCTAAATCTACAGTACTGCAGGTAACCGGAACCAAGAGATTTTGTGACAATTGCAAAATAAGTATACAAAAAAGGTTATATCATGAGTAGAGAACAGAGTCTCATTTGAGATAAAGTGGGCAACTATATTTTCTCTCATTGACACCAATACTATATGATACATATTCTGGCCGTTCCTCCATGAGTTACATTACAGTTTTGAAATTTACAACCAGAAAGGGTTCAGTTAATTTGAAAAATGTAATCTTTTTGTGCTCTGAATTATTGTGTTAATGGCTTATTGTATTGACACAGACTGTTCTTTCAGCTTCTGATGTTTCATAGCTTCTGTTTGCTCGGGACTCTTTACTGTAAGTCAGAAGTACAGTACAGACGGCCTCCCTAACTTATAATGGATAGAAGCAAGCTTGATGAAGAACAGAGGCCTGACAAAGTGTGCCCAAACAACTTTAGAACACTTCACAAAATGTGTGTTTAAAACAGTCGTGGGTGGGAGCCATATATGTTTTTATTTTCTATCTGGAAACAGTGGTCTAGTTACAAAAACAAAATTCTTCTGTTGATTTTTTTATTCCTCCCTCCGGTAGATCATTTCACGCCAGGCCTCAACTCAAAGCAAGTATGCATTAAAGAAAGATTGTATATGCAGTTGGACATTGTAGACATGCATCTGGATATCTGCATAAGGCAACCATTGGTCGCAGATGTACGCTTTTTAAGAGGTGTTCAAAGACATAAGGAGTACTGATGGGAGACAGTCCACTGGAGATTGCAAAAAAAATAAGTTTCTCTTCATCGGAGCTGACATCCTCAGGGGTTCTACTCTCAGACACATCCGTGTGATTATTTGGAGTGATCTACAGCTGTAAGGCAATGGAGAAAGAGTTTGTTGTGTTTCACACATTACGCAGGTAATAGACTTTCTCTGGAGACAGCCCAAGCATCCCTAAATATAGCCTTCATCTCAAGCAATGTCACAGGAGCTAGTGGCATCTGCGAAATGTTTATTCCAGAAAGATTGGTGATGCCATTTACAGGGTTGAAAGGGGGTTCTTTCTCAGAAGTGAGCAATAGCACTTTTAATTTGAACTCTTGTAATACTAGGAATCTACAGATAAATGTCAGTAAAGAAATAGGACAATTAAAAATAACTAGAATTTCTGATATTCTTGAATGTCTTTCCTTGAAAAAAAAAATTGTACACCAGTGCAACTTGAAACTTATGCAAGGCTAAGTAAGTACTGTAACTCCGAATTGTACTTGTCTTGGCTTTTTAGTGTGATAGCTTATGTACTTTTACTAATGTATTAGTTGCCTAATGCATGATATCTTTGGATATAATGACCCGATGCAACAAGACTTGAAACAAAACTGGAATGAACAATGTTAATTTTGAGTCATCAATCCTGAAAGAGCTGCCACTTCATATCAACACATTTTAATTGCTTTCAGCTTATTTTGCCTCAGTCCTACCCCATGTAATCAATATTACTTATGAATAATTATTGAATCTGATGGAGTCCATCTGTCTAGTGCCTAGTCAACACATATGCTCAACCAGTGCTAATGCAAATGGTGCAGTTCTGCCTTAGGCTTGGAGACAGCCATATTCTTCTGCTAAATAAAAATGATTACCAGGGAGCACTTCATAAAAAAAGAAGGCAAGCTGGATGTAATGCTGACTTTTAAATGAGGTTATAGGGGAAAAAAAGATTAAGCATCTTGCACCAGTCTTTAGCAAAGTTTCTAAGATTTCACCCTGGGACAGGGTGTAAGAACTGACTGTTGAGCTATGAGTTTTATCTTCTGCATATTTCACTGTCTGCTTTTGTTGGCTGCAGTTCATATGCTGTAGTCAGGCTTTCCTTGGAGAGGTTTGGCAAACAGACTACCATCTTCTGTCATGAACCCCTTTTCTCTGTTTTATAAAAGCTGCCCAGGCTGTGGGTTGGCCCAGAAAGGAGTAGCCTCTTTGCAAGACGCAATGGAAAAAGTGAATGCTGAGCTTTCCCTTGACTGGCTAAACCAAGCCTGACCTCCGGCGTTCCATCCATTTCATTATCTAGGCCACTCAGCCTGGCACTGCACTCTCTCTCCACAGCTGTTCCTCTGACTGAGTGCAAGCCAGAGCAGGGCAACAGCTGCAGTCTCTCTGTCTGTAAGACTTGTCTTTGCAGGACCGTCCACAATCAATAAAACATTTTTAACCCATTGCACAATCTGCATACCCTGTGTTTTCTGCCAGAGTACAGAGTACACAGATTTCTGTAGACAGCACCGCTGAAGACTTTCAGCCCTGTTCTGACAGTCTGAAGGAACTGAATCTTTTTAGTCTTGATCAGAGAAGGCTACATGGTCCAAATTTTCAAAATGTCCTTGGCAAAGCTAACCCAGTGGTTTTCTTTATAGTAATTAATAATTGCTTGCACTTATATAGCTTTTTTTTACGGACACTCCACTCAAAGTGCTTTACAGGTAATGGGGACTCCCCTCCACCCCCACCAATGTGCAGCCCCACCTGGATGATCTGACGGCAGCCACAGTGTGCCAGAACACTCACCACACATCAGCTATTAGTGGAGAGAAGGACAGAGTAATGAACCCAATTCATAGAGGGGTATTATTAGGATGCCGTGATTGGTAAAGGCCAATGGGAAATTTGGCCAGGATGCTGGGGTTACACCCCTACTCTTTTAGAGAAACGCCCTGGGATTTTTAATTACCACAGAGAGTCAGGACCTCAGTTTTATGTCTCATCTGAAGGACGGCACCTTTTTACAGTATAGTGTCCCTTTCAGGAAGTCTCTCATCTAGGTATTGACAAGGCTCACGCCTGCTTAGCTTCAGTGGGTTGCCAGTTGTGAGTTGCAGGGCGATATGGCTGCTGGCTTTGGGATCAACTGTGGAAACAATGTGAAAGAGCATTTGAAACTCAGAGGACAGGAGGCCCTTCTTTACACAAAGGGTTGTGGGACTATGGAACAACCAACCAGGTTGTTGAAGCTCATATTGAGGCCACTTTCAAAAAGTGTCTGGATGTGATCCTTCAATCAATCAACTGCTAACTACCAAATGATCGCCTCACATTTCTAACTATTCCTACATTGTTCGCTGTGTTAAACTTGAGGTATCTACAGCACATGTATGACTTATGCTATAGTCTTTATATACATGCTTCATGTTTGGCAGGCAAACCCGTGTATCTGCATATTGGGGAGGAGGTGGATGGGGTTGACATGCGAGCTGAGGTGGGGCTCCTGACCAGAAATATCCTGATAATGGGGGAGATGGAGACCAAGTGCTATGGAAATGATGCCTGCAAGTTCTTTGACTTCGACACCTTTGGAGGGCATTTAAAGGTAGAGTGTGACTTTGTGAAGGTCAAATATGGCAGTATTTGGAGGTAACCCTCACATTAAAAACATTAATTTAAATCGGAATTCAAAGAGAGGCTTGACACTTTAATTGGCACAATATATGTTCTACTTCAATTATTTGTATTAACCTTAAATGCTGTAAATTTTAGTCTGATCATCCACCCATCTTCAAACTGTAGGGTTGACTCTGTTCCTGGAAAAACAAGGTGTTGCTGGATGATCTCCCCTCCATCCTCACTCTCTTTCCCCACTGACCTCCAGGTGGAGCGTGGCTTCAAGGCGGCCCACATCGCAGGGGTGGAGTTGAAACACATGGGGCAGCAGTCCATGGGCCACTACCCCATCCACTTCCACATGAACGGAGACGTGGACGAGAAAGGAGGATATCACCCCCCCACCTCTGTGGAGGGCGTCTCTGTCCATCACACGTTCTCCCGCTGCGTCACCGTGCACGGCTCTAACGGCCTGCTGGTGAGTGTCGTCCGTGATTAATGACTGCTTCCACAGCTTGAGCAGCAGATGACAGCTGTCTGCATGTCTGCGTCAAAGCCCCGTTCAAATTTAGAAACCCAGAAAAATATATCAGACCACTTGCTAGAATCATTGATTGTGGCTTTTTATTTGAAAATTTTGAGCTAAAGGAGAAAAAAAAATGATCATTGTATTACATCTTTAAACTATTTAGTGCCTATTATGTATTCCCATAGTTTTGAAGAGAAAAAAAAGGATTAATATACTGCACCTAGACAGTTACTGAGGTTTAATAGAAAGGGAAGCAAATTTTTTTCTTTCCATTTTCCTCCTGTAACCAGGACACACTGAAAACAACATCCTGAAAAAGATCTTCTTTGGGATTTACACCTAAAATACATTCCAGACACTATTAAGTTGAATAAATATGAACAAAATAATGAGACAAATGCACATGTCAAGTACAGGACGCTCAACTTGTAGGATGGCTATCTGCTTATTTTGTTACAAAATGGAACTCCCTCATCTTGAATTTCTCATGACGTTGCCCGACAGCTTCAGTGTATTGTATTTTTTAGAATACATTTCCTTCACAGGAGATTTGTGCAGCCCTGAAGAGTTAATAATGAAAATCTCTGTCTTTGCTGGTCTCTGGTGTAGCATCTTTGTCTGTAAATGAGAGCTCTTGGTATGCTGGCTGTGTTATTATGGTTATCAGTGATTATACAACCACAGCCATCTGTTAGTTTGGAGTATTAAATTAAGTCAGCTCGGTAGTTCATGATGCTGTGAGAGTGTCCTGAAGGGACAGAAGCTAACATTACTGCCTATTTTATGGCATTCTTAAGTTCTTCGGAAAGGTTAAGCAGAGAATTGAAATGTCTATGTTTCAGATCTCACATCAGCCATCACCTTAAATTATCCATTAGGCTTGCTCTCGGTTCTTCTTTTCCAATCTATAATCTTTAATGACAGAGGTTTTACTTTAACGTCTTATTTTGAGTTCTAATGAGACTCACCCCTAATGTGAGTAACAAAGTGTAATTTCTTGTTCACTAATGGATTATCATTGCTAGACCTTTCACTCTCAGCTTCCTGTAAGAGGTCACACTGACTGACAACACCAGGTTTTTTTAATATTATTAGCTCACACTGTTATCCAGAGTAACTTTAAATATATATTTTAAAAAAGAAATTTAAAACTCTTTCTTTGCTGAGTGTGCATGGCTGCCTATAGGAACTGGTTTACTTATCTTTACTGATAATGTAACTAGTGATGACAGCAACATATTGAAGTCTTGAGTTAACAGAAAGTTATTGTCTGCTTATGTAGAAGAATGTTTCCATACTTATTGGCGATAATTCATCATGCAGCATAACAATGATACAAAAGAGTTCCACAGGAAAAAAGTGAAAAAGCTTAGGTTGGCCAAGTAGTTTACAGATTTAAATCCAACTGGGCATTTTACATGCCGAAGAAATAATTTAAGTCAGAACACCCCAAGAATAGGCAAGATCTCAAAGCAGCTGCAGCAGAGGCTTGGCACAGCATCTCAAATGATCGCACAACTGAGTTTGGTGAGCTCAGTTAGTCACAGACTTGTAGAGTTATTGCTTCAAAGTGAAGCTACACCCTGGAATTCGGTGAATGTCCAAAGTGAATGCACAGAGTCACTTAGAATAACTGATTTAAATGTTTTTGTTTTAAGATGTTCGGATGAATGCAGTTCTGCAATTTCCCTCACGGGATCAGTAAATTATCTATCTATCTTAATATATTGTACTTATCATTCATACATTGATCTCGGTATTACAAATCAAACTGTTTGAGTTGTGATATTGTTGTCCAAATATGTTAGGAGGACACTGTATGTATGGATATTTCTTTGCAACAAAAGCACTTACTAATCACGTGCAAACCTTAAGCACGAAATTTAAAAAAAAGATAGAAATGAAAGGGGGCATCCTTTCTGCAGGTTAAGGACGTGGTTGGCTACAATGCCCTAGGGCACTGCTTTTTCACGGAGGATGGCCCTGAGGAGAGAAACACTTTTGACCACTGCCTGGGACTCCTTGTGAAGGCTGGAACCCTCCTGCCTTCTGACAGAGACAGTAAGATGTGTCGTGACATCACTGACGGAGCTTACCCTGGCTATGTCGCCAATCCGAGACAGGACTGCAGGTAAGTGGAAGGCACTGATATCTCCTGGTGAAATGGCCAGGTTTGCATTTTTTGTGAGCATCAGTGTAAGACAATTTAAAAGTGGGAACAGGAGGCACTTCTTTACACAAAGGGTTGTGGGAGTATTGAACAGTCTACTCAGCCCTGCTTTTAAAACCAATACCTAGGCTTCATGTATTTCATTAAATATCTGGATGAAATCATTAGATCTATTTGCTACTAGCAACCAAAAGGCCCCTTGTCTTGCTTATAACTTGTCTTGTGGCTTTATGTGATAGAACTTGGCACCCTAGGTAAACTCCAAGCGAAATCTGTGATGTTAAAAATTGCTTTTGTCACTTTCATTGATCTTCTATACTGTACAACACCGAATCATCCCAAATTTGCAAAGCTGTAGTTTACAGATAAAATAATCAGATTGCGTGAAGTTCAGATATTGTTTGAAAGTTAACTTAATGTACAACAGCCAATTACACTATGAAATGCCAATCACACTATGAAAGGATTAAAAATAATTATAATAAAATTCAGAATTTTCAGGAATCTGAAATTTTTCTGCTTAGTTAAGGGCATAGTCTGCCTCCTTTTTATTAAAAAAATTACATTTGTTTCTAATCTCACATCAACCATTATGATTCTAAGTTTTTCATAACTATTTAAAAATTGGTTTTACAAAGAAGGGTATTTGTATTGTGTTATGTTCAAGATTAATGTTTCACTTTAAGGCTTTTCAATGTAAACAGTGAAGTTCAAGTAGTCTTCTAAGTTAATACATGATAAAACAAGATTCTAAGGTGTGACGTCTCAGTTTTCTTTAAATGCATTTTAGTGCATGTGAAAATGGTGCTGCTCTACAGTGTGTTCTCTGCATTATTCCAGCAGCACAGCATGTAGAAACAGTGTTAGTATATAGTGTGCCCTGTCATGAGACAGATTTTAGGATATTGGCACATTTTCCAATGTATTGAATTGCCTTTCCCATATAAGGTACCACCAAAACCATATAGACAAACCTCAGTTAGGACAGGTATGACTTTCTTTAGCCTCTGATTTTTTTTATTTAACTACCCAATTGTGATCATATCTATGACCAAAAAATAAAGAGATGATTTTAGACTTTGGTTAATAATTTAAAATGAGGAAAGGAATAGGTGTATGAAATAATATTTGTGACACTGGACAGTCAGGATTGTGTCAGTGACACTGACCATTGTCTGTAGAAAATGTTGTCAATCTGGATTACTCTTCAGACATGTATTGCCTACATGCACCAATGCAATTTAAATCACAAGCACCACATTGATTTTCCAGTTTACTCCTATGCTGTGACACCTGAGAAAAATGTGTTTAATGTTCACATCTTCACATTCCAGTAGAGTAATGAAAAAAGCGGCAGACAATGAAGAAATATATAATAACATTTCAATATGAAATATCCACATTGCTCCCTCTTTGTTTCACAACTAGTAGCCTATATAATGGGTGTCTGCTTGGAAGAAACATGTCTACTGTCAAAACTCTCAAGTCGGATAATTACTGTGGTGGTCTGTCAGCAAAAGATACCACTCGACTTTCTCGCTTGTATTTGCCAAGCTTGGCAGCAAGTTTTGAGGAACTGAAAAAGGCTAATTTACATAGATATGAACAGCATTTACTGGCTTTGCAAACATTTACCTTTGATGGAAGAGTGTTTGAAAAGTGATAATGAAACTCATCCTTGAGCTTCCCTCTGCTACAGTTTTGAATTGCAATCCAGTATTGTAAATGTGCTCAGATCCCATGGAAACTGAGTCTGAATTTAACCTGTTTAGTTCACCTGGGCTTCTCATATCAGTTTATTTTATTGGACCAAAATAACTCAGAATGCAGAAGACTTTTAAGAGTCTGTAGTTCATAAATGGTGCCACTTAAACTATTCTAGCATTAATAGTGGACAGCATAATGTCCGTTCATCTGTGTATATCTTTATCATCAGACAGTAAACTACTGATACCAGGGTGTGTGTGTGAAGATAAGACTGAGTTTCTGAAAAACAGTTTCTGAAAGCTGGGAAGGGGCAAATGGCCTAATCTCGTTCATAACCTTTCTGATGTTCTTTTAAATGTTTGAGATCATTTTCATTGTGTTATTTCATTTAGTAAATATAGCAAGTTGAATGTAAAATATTTTTTAATTCAGTTTCTTTCAATACAAAATAATTCCACTTTTTTCCAGTTTAGCTGTAGAGACAGAGAGATCCGACACTTTTAGCAAAACTAATAGTCTAGCTCGATTTAATCATGCCTGTGGTAATGAAGCAGCAATAATTTGTTAATGTCATTTGACTATTTTACCGCAGCTAATTAGACAAACCACAACTCATTAAAAAAGGATTTAATGTGAACTTTTTCATATATGCAGCTGATTAGCAGATGGGATGTAAAGTAATAGCCCTTTTAAATTTGTATTTTCTCTGTGACTGTATATTGCTGCTCTACAATTCAGATACTAAATACCACTGTAACCCCATCGACATTCAAAGATTTCCATTTAGAATCTGTTTTGTAATGTCATTTTTCACCTTGAGGCCATACTGGAGGCACATTATTGTTAAAACACAGCCAACATTCAAAAATACCTCTTCTCACAATATACTGTAGATGTTCTCTAGAAGGCATCTATCCTGTCTTTGCAGCAGCGGACCTGGCTAATGTGACACTTCAGACAGCCTCAAGAGAACAGGCAATTGTTGGCGAATTAAATAAAAGCTCTGTTCAGGAGTTGTAGTTGTGGAATATAATATGTAGTTGGAATATTTTGGAAGAATAAGAGACAGACACACAGCAAAAAATGCCACTATAGCCCCTTTATCTGAGCCATTACCAGGATCCTGATGAGGTTTTTTTTTTATTAGCCCTATACAATTTCTTGCATTAGGAATGTGTCTTTTCGCATACCCCAGCTTTTCTCCATGGAGACACAGACACACAGACAGGGAGAGAAGCTGGGGGTCAGAGCGCAGGGTCTGCCATTGTACGGCGCCCCTGGAGCAGTATGGGTTAAGGGCCTTGCTCAGGGGCCCAATGGAGTAGGATTCCTCTGCCGGCCGCAGGATTTTAGAGGACACACTGGGACAAAGAGTAGGATGGCTCAGACAACAAAATGTATTATTGTAGCTTAACAGGTATCTTTTATAACAAATGACGGAAAGTTTGAAAACAACATTCAGACTCGCTGTCCATCTCTACAACTAAAACAAATAACCAAGGAGTTTCTGCACCCATTCCTCCTGGACAGGACTAATATGTTCCTGTTAAAAGTCTCCTACTGCATAATCTAAACAGTGGCATATTAGGAGATTTCAAAGTCCTTTCCAAATGAGAAAAATATTAAACAGAAACTAAGATAGAAAACAGAAAGCACTGAATCAAAACAAATACCATGTTTGTCTTTGCAGTGCTACTTCCACTTTCTGGATGGCTAACCCTAATAACAACCTCATCAACTGTGCAGCTGCAGGCTCTGAGGTGAGTAGAATCTGTCTTTGTCTGTTTACATTTAGGAGACGCTGAGTCTTCTGAGGCTCGTTACAGAACCACTGAATATGATTCATTTGTCTCAGGCATGCGACTGAAGACTTGTGATGTTAATCCACGCTATATTGCTTTTGTTTTTTATAGCAGCTAATTATGCATTTGAATAAATCCATTATGTTTCCATAAATTCAGCATGCAATAATCAAGCTTAAGAAATATATCTATAAAATGTTTTTCTGTTGTTGTCACTGTTCTTTATCCACCACAGTTTATTTTTATTTTCAAAACTGTATTTCCAAAGAACATAAGAGCTGAGCATCAGTTTTGAATTTAACCCTTTCTGTGGTTTGTCAGTTTTGAAATAATAAAAATGTACATTTGTGGTTCCCTTAAAATAGTTAGATCCTCTACATCAAGAGAAATAAACTCTTGACTGGTCAGTTTATCTTAGCCTTAAGTGGTAAAGGCCTTGTTACCAGAAGGTTCCATGTTATTTTGAAAAAGTAACTGAGTTCTTTCTTTGTATATTTAATGTACAAATGAGGTCCTTCTGTAAGTATTTGTCGAAATATAATTTAACCTCTAGTGTAAGTCTCTTTGCATAGAAGCTTGCAATAAATAAACAATTAAATCAAATTTATTCTAATGTAGCGTGTTGCGCTGGCCAGGTGATAAGGCCTACAGCTTCACATCTGGGTTTTCTCTAAGAGCTCCAGTTTCCTCCTGTTTTCAATAGACATGCTGGCTGGGCTGATTTCTGGGCTAGTTTCTGTGTGTGTCATCGATGGAGTCATCCGCATCCAGCATGTAATTCCACCTTGTGCCCTGTGTTTCTGAGACAGGGTCCAAGTGGACATTTTTACAGTCCTTACACTTTTTATTTTTAAATGTGGACTGCTTCATTTATATATACAGTATATTATATATATATTCATTTTAAATATATGACTGTCTGTTTGTTTGCCTTCCAGTTATGGAGTTCCTGATTTTCTCCAGTGTCTTTTATCGGTCCTTTGCTTTGTTTTTGCAGGAGACTGGGTTCTGGTTTATTTTCCACCACGTGCCCACTGGCCCTTCAGAAGGAATGTATGCGCCAGGACGCACAGAGCACACTCCTCTGGGACAGTTCCGAAACAACAGGGCACATTCCAACTACAGGGTGAGTCAGCACAGCAGGGCAGAATGGCCTAGATGGAGAAACATACATTAAAACATTGCAATTCTCTTGAGGAGGAGGATGTCCCCAAAACACAATAGGCTTTCTGTTGGAAAATAGGCTTTCTGTTTGGACCTGCCGGTTTTTACTGTTTTTCTAGAGTGTAATTGGCAACAAGACCTATATTTGTGCTTGGTTGTATCCTGAAATATTGCTCCAGATCTTTGCAATGCGATTCTCAATCTGTACTGCTTTACAATCTATAGAAACTCTTTCTTTCTTTTCTGCTGTTCCTTGTAATAAAACAAGAAAAAAATCTGTAAAGTGAAGGATAAAATGCGTTGAAAAGGCATTATAATGCAGAGGCATCGGTTTTTGGCACAGACAATTACATTGCTGCTCAGGGCAGTAACAGCTTATAGCAGAGAACCATGGGGTGAGCATAATGAGGTCTAAACAGAGTGGAGATTTGTAGCTTTCACTATATTTTCAGATAGGACTTTAATGGAGTACATAAATAAAGATCTGAACTCCACATTTCGACCTAAATCTAAAGCTCAAGATATTAGTCATTTTGCCAGAGAGAATAAATGTGTATCTGGACAATAAAAAGTAATGTCAGTCCCCTTTTTTTCTGCCACCTATCAGACGGTCAGTGTCAGCTTGCCCCATATGAAGCTCAGATTTTTTCCTTTTTATGTGAGCTGGGCCTTAGCTCTTCATTGTCATCAGGGTTGAGCCTTGATCACCTGTTTCAGGCTGGCATGATCCTGGACAATGGTGTGAAAACCACAGAGGCCAACGCCAAGGACAAGAGACCCTTCCTGTCCCTCATCGGAGCAAGGTGAGGAAATTACACTCTTTTGCCCTACTTTGTTCTCACCCCTCACTGCAGCAACATGTTCATCACAAGCTAGACTCCTTCAAGTCTTTCTTAGCCAGTGTCACTTGAAATATGAGGACTCCTGTTGGAATAGTTCTACTCAGGGAACATGACTCACTGTTTCAATAGCTGTGCTGATACTCCCTTTGAGAAATGCAGAGCAGTGACGTTACCTGCTTTGCCTTGTGGTTGGACAGATACAGCCCTCACAAGGACTCGGACCCCTGCAAGCCCAGGGTGCCAGCGCTGATCCATCGTTTCATCGCCTTTAAGAACCAGGACCACGGCGCATGGCTGCGTGGAGGGGATGTGTGGCTCGATGCCTGCCAGTGAGTCGCTGTTTGCTTTCTGCAGGTTTTACAGAGGCCTGGGCACACTCAGCAACAAGAGAATCGATTCCCTCACAGCAATGCAGTGCTCTTCATTTGGGCCCGCTGCTGGAGGCAAACAGAATTTTCTAACAAATTGTTAATATTGTAAAGCTCAGCACAAATAAACAATTTAAAAGCTCTGCAAGTTTCGGTCACCACAAGGGGCCTATTCTTTTCACTGCATGTCGTTCTTATCTACAATCAGTCCCCCACCAACGTGATTCACATGGGATGGATAAAGGGGTGATAGTCCTAATTGGGATGCCTGGGATAATAATGTTTCTTTCTCTAAAAATCCAGAAGCTTGTCCTTTTTAAATGTATATGTAGATTGTGTGTAGCACCAAACTGGCAGTTCCAGATGAAGGCTGCCCCTGACTCCCCACATTCCAGAAGCACTCAGTGTGTCCCTGTTCGTGTGTATCGTGTATGCACAGTGTCCTTTGGGCTTTGTGTAACTAATATTATTTCAGATGTGACCGGTATGACTGTGCCAAGCCCAGGACTCCTGCTGCTAAATAAAGAATCCCAAGTTACTGTAAATCTTCAGGCGCAGTGTCTTTTCTACAGGGTTTAACAGTAGCCAAAAACTTCTTTCTGGCAAGGTTAGGACAGAAACTGAAATGAACCACAGCTGGTTGTGTTCATTTGTAGAAATTATTCTAAAGTGAAGAAGTATAACTAGATAATAGTGCACTAGTATAAAACAGTGCAGGTCAGGTGCTTCCTCTTGTCTTCTAAGGCAGTGTGAGAGCACCTCCACCTCTTCTTTTTCTAGTGATCCCCATTTTTGTTTTGTTATTTGTAATTGTTGTGTTGAGTTGTTTGGCATGTTCTATTTTAAAAATTAAATAAATCAGGGAAAACTGATCTTGTACCCTACAAAAACGCCCCAGACTATAATAATATAAAAGCCTAAAATCCTAGATCAAAGATTTAATTTAATAATTTCTAAATAAGACCACTGCTATATTGCACAGGGAAACATTTACCATTATTTTATCTGTTTTTACAGATTGGCATTTTAGTGTTTTATCATCTTATTCCTTTGTCTTAGTGTGCAATGTTAAACTGTCCCATTCCTCCACAAAATGTTTACTCTGATTTTTCTCTTCATCAGATTTGCAGACAATGGAATTGGCCTTACTCTCGCAAGGTAGATATTTGAGATTTTCTTTCATTTTATTTCCTTATTCTTAATTCTTTCTCAGAAATTTCCATGTTCTGTTTTAGAAGTTGTATTTAAAAAGCAGGCTATTTTATACAGCGTTAAAAATGCAGCTTTTTTACTGCATTTAATTTAAATGGACTTTAGAAATGTCATGGGAAATAACTTTCTTCGATTTCTTAAAGCAGGTTAATTCCATAGAAACGAGCACTCCACCACCTCCACTCCACATAGTCACCGCCATTTGAGAAAAGCATTTAAATGTTGTTCTTTGACCTTTGAACTCTCCTGGATTTGCTTGTCTGCAGTGGAGGGACTTTCCCCGATGATGACGGCTCCAAGCAGGAGGTGAAGAACTCCCTGTTTGTTGGGGAGAGTGAGAACAGAGGGATGCCCATGCCTGACAGCCGAATCTGGGGACCTGGGGGTCCCGACTCGAATGGCAGGACCCTCCCAAGAGGAGTGTAAGTCCTCGGACCCGGAATATTGACGAGAAAAAAAGAAAGAGGAGCATTGAATTTCTCCAAAATAGAAATTTATGTTACAGATTTTTATTCAATTAATAATAATACACCATCCTGTCATTGTCTGATTTGTAGGAACTTTCCTATCCGCGGAATGCAGATCTATGATGGACCAATCAATGTCCAGAACTGCACTTTCCGCAAATTTGTTGCCCTGGAGGGGCGTCATACCAGCGCCTTCGGCTTCAGGCTCAACAACTCCTGGCAGAGCTGCCCCAATAACAACGTCTCTGACATCACATTCGAGGATGTCCCTGTAAGTAGGGCCAGGGTACGCCTAAGAAATGGAGTCATGTGAATATTAGCTAACCAGTCATTTTAAGTTCACGGGTTTTAAAAAAATAATAAACATAATGCTGTTAATCTAAATTAGACCTATATGTTAATTCTTGAGGCTTCATTTAAATTTGTGAGATTTTCAGTAAATAAGGAGATAAGTTACTGGTGTGTCACAAGTTCTCAGTCTCACGACTGACACGAGACTTAGAACTGCAGCAGTGTGTTGTATTGATTTTTTTTTGTTCCAATGACTCAGATCACATCCCGAGTCTTCTTCGGAGAGCCAGGCCCCTGGTTCAACAAGATGCAGATGGATGGAGACAAGACAACAGTTTTCCATGATACGGATGGCACAGTGAGCGAGTACCCGGGGGCCTTTCTGGTGAAGGAGGATAACTGGCTCCTCCGGCACCCGGACTGCATCGATGTGCCTGACTGGAGGGCAGCGATCTGCAGTGGCCGTTACGCACAGGTAATGCCTGCTTGGCCAAGGCTGATGAAACACCCCTTTACTTGTGATGTCCTGCTGCATTCCACATTGGCTCAGTGCTAAAACAAGGACTTGAATGAAGAAGAAGAGTTCTGTAGTTTATTGTAATCTAAAAAATCTAAAAATAATTGTGGATTTCTTTCTCCTGTAAGGCTTGGTACCTCAGTACCTACAGTATCTGACTTATTATCTGTCTGCTCCCCACCTCTCAACCTTTCTTTGCCTGCCTGTGGTCTTCTGTTTGTCTCCCATGCTTGTTTACGTTCTATGGGTGACAGGAATTTCTCTCTGGAGTTCAGTCTCCAAGAATATCAAAGATGCTTTTTTAAATTATTGTCTGTGTCTGCTCCATTTTCTAGTGACAATGTATCTCATGCTGCACCTCTAACAGCTTGTGTTTCTTATACTGTATGTTCATATTGTAATTTGCTATCCTTATTACTATTAATTTATCTATACCTACTGTATTGCTACTTGTAGGTGCTACAGTATATAAAATATTGTAGTAGTAGTTATAGTAGTACTCCTGTGGTCATGGGAATTTAGCTCAATAACTCATTTTGTGTTTTAAAACTCAGATATACGTTCAAGCTCATAACCCTGCTAACCTGAATATGAAGATAGTGAAGGATGAATATCCTGAGCACCCCCTGGAACTGATGGGTGCACTGGGAAAGAAGAGCCATTACCAGCAGTACCAGCCTGTAGTGACACTGGCCAAGAGCTACACTTTGCACTGGGACAAGCCTGCCCCTGCAGAGGTCACGGTCTGGCTCATCAACTTCAACAGGTCAGGGACAACAAGATTTTATTAATAAAATCTCTTGACAGGTGTAAAAACCCATATAAGTAAGTGTATAAAAGCCCTAACTTGAAATTCTATAAAAACGTTCAAATGTTGTATGGTGTTTTTGTTTGGGAACACAGTTTTCTTTTTGTGTGATTTTATATTGTGTGCATTGATACTTTGAAGCAGTTTTTAGAACATTCTCATAGTGTTGGCATCTGTTTTGATCCATCATTTTGAATAACTGTACAGGACTGCAGTGAACCAGAGTCTAACCCAGCATATGGCAAGATACTACCTGGGATGCCAGTTCACCTCAGTCAGAAACACACACAAAGACCATTTAGACAAGCCAGTTTACCCAGATAGCATGTCTCTGGACTGTAGGAGAAAACCAGGACACCAGGAGAAAACCCCCATGGTCATGGGGAGACCATGCAAACTCCACACAGAAAGTGCCCTGGTCCTGATTCAAACAGACGACCCAAGAGATTGTGGGAAAACAATGATAACTGCCATGCAGCCATGTTTCCTATTCTGATACATGATTCATTAAATATCTTGGTGTGTGATCATTGTTATAACATTTGCTCAATGGAGTATGAGACTACGCAAATTGCAAACCCCAAATTGTATAATAGTATATTTTTCCCCATAATCCTTACAGTTTTTCTTGACTCATATTCACCTACAGATGTTTATTTCAAGTGCAGTTTAAATTAATTTTGGGGACCTGTCTACTAAGTCATTTTCTCCTTGAAAGTTCTCACCTGGATTATATATCAATATAACCAATAATGGTTTTATTGTTTTTATATGCAGTCAGAAAGGAATGATTTCCCACTTTATTAGAATTGTAGAATATGTATAACAGTGTAATGAAAATTTGCAGATGTTAATGTATTTCTGGGATACACATTTTATAAACACATTTTATAAAAATTAGTCTTGGGGATGGTGATATTTAGCTTGCTTATCAGTTTCTGTCCTAATTGCTCACTCTGTGGATCTTTAACATTCTTTGGCTATGAGACGAAGGGTGTGAATTGTAGCAGGCATCTTAATCTAAACTCCATGCTGAGAAGAGAAGAAAGGAAACACAACGTTTCGGCTGTGGAGCTTTCTTCAGGAGCCACCCAAAGAAGTCTCCACAGCCAGAACGTTGTGTTTCCTTTCTACTCTTCTCAGCATGGAATAAACCTCTACTTGTTCCTCTGCATGCCTACGCATGCTGACGCAGCCACCTACTTGAACTTAATCTAAACTCTTTATCTCATCTTTTTGCTGACTTTCCAAAGACCTGTCACCTCCGGTAGAAATATAGAGAGGGTAATAGCATGCCTCTTGCAAATGCAACTTGACATTATTTTGATGCCCAGAAGAAATGAAGGCAGTTTTACATGCCCATACCTGGTGCAGTGTCATCAGAGGAAAGATAAAAACAATACAGGAAAGCTCTGTTTCACAATGTTTAATCAACAGTTTAGAATTGAGTTGCAATATTATGATTTTCTATTTCAAATAATACTCTACAAAACATATATTACTGGCACTGGAAACATACATATGTTTTTTTTTTAGTTTTTTTCTCTCCACTTTGTTCCATGGCGCCATCTAGTGTACATGCCTTTGAGTTGGCTCTTAACTCGGCTTTTATCGGAGACCACAAAATAACACGCCTTCCATTCGTTTCTCGTATTCGCAGGAATGACTGGATCAAAGTGGGATTTTGCTATCCTAAAGGAACAACTTTCACTATCATCTCTGATATTCACAACCGTCTCAAAAAACAAACTCGAAAAACCGGGATTTTCATGAGAACTTTCCAAAGAGATAAAATAGACCACAGCCACTCGGTGCATGGCTACTATTACTGGGAGGAGGACACGGGGTAAGAAATGTGACATCTCGTGGCGTCTCGCTCTGTCTGACTGGAAATTCTGTCAGTGCAGTTCAGTCTTGGGTGCCAGCGAGCTGCTGCACTCAGAGCTGCAAACTGCACATTGTGACGTCTCCTTATGCGATTGAGTGACTGTAGACAGGCATTTCAGACTGTGACTGAATAGCCAAAAAATTAGAACTGGTGTTTTCAGCTCTATTGCATTCCTTCTTTTAATGAAGGCTTTTAAATAAGAGCACTATAACTAAAAAATGGGAAAAATTAACCCCATGAAAAGTTTGGGCCTGAAAGGAAACTAGATATATTACATACTGTATTTGGTCTCTGCCTGCTTCATAAACCTGTTTTCTTCTCCTGGGTCGCACAGGAATTTAATTGAGAGGGTTCCAGCCCCTGGACTGAAACATCTCTTCGGCCTTCTCATTGTCTTGTTTCCTTTGTCTAGGCTTCTCTTCCTGAAGCTCAAAGCTCAGAATGACAAGGAGAATTTGGCATTCTGCTCAGTGAAGGGCTGTGAAAGGATTAAAATCAGGGCTGTGATCCCTAAGAACAGTGGCCCCAGTGATTGCACTGCGAAAGCATATCCCAAATATGCTGAGATGCCCATTGTAGACGTCCCAATGCCAAGGAAGCTGCCCAACACCCAGCTGGTAGGAATTATATGCCTTAATTGCAGGATTATGTTTTGTACACTGTAGGAAATTCACTTTTCTCTGCTAAATCTTCCACACTAGGTCATTTAAAAATAATTTTTGTTCATCATTGATCTTTATTTATGTTTCGTTAAATAAATTAATTTATATTTTTCAAAACTGCCTACCAAATGTCATGCCTTTTCTTCTTAGTTTATAAATCTTGATCTGTGACTCAGACATGTCATCATAATTTTTAAGATGAGGAGATTGGAAAGCTGATGGTTGGACAAAGCCTCCAAGCAATTTAAAAACAATGGCCTAACATAGGGTGACAGCATGATTGATGTCTGGTTTATTCTGTTCTTTGTCAGAACTAAGCAGACACCTCATCAAGCTTGCACCATTGATTTGAACATGTAACAATTTCTTTGTACACCTCAATAGTTCGATTTTAATCTAGACTTTAATATTATAGGTTGGATTTTAGACTTTTTAACCAACAGATTTTAAAGAGTCAAGATAAATAGTTTTATATCAGAGCAGCTGACCCCATCCTGTACATTATTTATACAAGCAGCTGTAGAATTAAATAAAACACCAGCAGCTATAGTATATCACCCTGCAAATAGCAACTGGCAACCTTCTGAAGCTCAGCAGATGTGAGCCTGGCCAGTACCTGAATGGGAAACCTCCTGGAAAGCTGTGGTTGCTGCTGGAAGAGATGTTAGTGGGACAAGTAGAGGGGCGCTCACCCTGTAGTCTGTATGCGTCCTGATGCCCCAGTATAGTGATGAAAAAGTGCCATCTTTTGGATGAGTCATAAAACTGAGGTCCTGACCTTCTGTTGGCATTAAAAATCTGAGGGTATTTTTCGTAAAGAGTAGGGGTGTTACCCTGGTGTCATGGCTAAATTTCCCATTGGCCTTTACCAATCATGGCCTCCTAACAATCCCCATGAATCACCCTGTTCTCCTCCCCACTGATAGCTGGTGTGTGGTGAGCGTACTGGTGCTTTTTGGTTGCCGTCTCATCATCCAGGTAGATGCTGCACATTTCTGGTGGTGGAAAGGAGGTCCTATTACCTGTAAAGTGCTTTGAGTGGAGTGTCCAGATAAGCGCTATATAAGTTTAAGGATTATTATGTAGAAGCCCTTTTGAGGACAGACACATCATTAAGCCTTGCTGATGACACTGTTATTGTCAGTCTCCTCCAAGATAGAGACGCTTTTCTTGGGCCTGATGGGGATTTTTTGTCGAATGGTGTAAAAACGCCTTCAACTTAATGTGTCGAAAACCACAGATGTGATCATTGATTATATATAAAGAAACCACCAGCTGCAAAAACCTTAGAGAAACAACAACAATAAATTGAAATTGTCAACAGTTACTAATATCTTGGCACTTTAGTTAATTATAAGGTAACCTCTGAGGAAAATACAGATGCCTTATGTAAGAATATTAAACAGCGATTGATTTTCCTGAGAAAACTCCAGTTTTACTATGTGTAGTACAATGGTGACTTCTATAGAACTGCTATTGAATCTGTTTTAACATTCACTTCAGTTGCCTGGTGTGGTAACCTTAATACATGCAGTATGTATGAAAAACAGACTGAGCAGGATAGTGAAAGTAGTCAGCAGAGTTACCAGTGCACAACAGCTACAGCTGTCAAACGTCTACATGAAACAAATAGTGTGGACGGCCAAAATTAATCATTGATTGTCATTACCACCCCTTGCCCTGATGAAAGGAGCTCAAATTCACTCTGCATCGATTTAGACTACCCAGGGTTAAGTGTAGTATAACTAAGCTATCCTTTAGTCCCACATCTATTAACCTGCCTAATTTAGGCAATTATTTGTATATGTGACTTTATTTATACATTTATTTTCATCATACATGTTTGTTTCTTATTTGTTAACAGGTTCATGTTGCGTTAAATGTATTGTGTATTGTGTTATGTCTTTTACCTGCCTGTAAACCACATTTCCCACCTGGGACAATAAAGTAAGAAGTTGCAAGTACTATGTGTCATGGAAGGTCAGAGAAATGAGTGACATTAGGTCTATACAAGTCTACCTCCCAGTAAAAAGTGTCCATTCTCTGTTATTCTCAGCACTCCAAGGACCACTTTCTGGAAATGAAGCTGCAGTCTTACAACACCCGTTTCTTCCACATTAAGGATGACTTTGCTTATGCGGAGGTAGGCTTCACATTTCTCTTGCTTGAATCGGACCGGGCTTTCTGACGAGTGAGCTGCTGGGATTCCAATCCTAGCCTCTCATTTTTATAGAGATAAATACAAATAAATATGTTCTGGTGCTTCTTCTTCCTGTAAGGGTTTCTAGCAGTAAAGGCATGCAACCAAAAGAAACAAATGTCAATTTACAGTGATAGTTTAATTCTATCCGGTATCTTAGCTATGTTCAGTTAATCCAGTCCTCCTTTAATTTAGATTAATGCCAAAGAAGTCTTTTAGATTAATAATGCCATAGTACAATAAGGTGTAGGGGCTACAGAGAGATCCTGTTTTGAATAAGTGAAGTTTTTACTAATAAGTGAAGATTAGTTGAGAATGACCATATCCCCAAGTGTAATAGCTTGGGCACTAGTGTTTATTGTTTTCACCCCGACAACTTCTCATGGCATGAAAAATCATTGTGCCGGGCATCATCATGGCAGCCTTTTCAATCGCTCTTTGATGTGTTGACAGATTAACGGGAAGAAGATCTACCAGGCTGATGATGGGGTGCAGCTGACTGTCATTGACAGTCACTACGGGAAGGTTCTAGACAGCAAATCGTTTCGAAATTCCATTCTTCTGGGGATCCCTGCCCACATTGAGAGCTACATAGCCAACATCAAAACGGAGTACGTATATAACAAAATACTGTTCACTTCCTTAATGAGGACAGGAATCTAATTTGGTCCAACTTTTGTAATTTCAGCAAAAGATTTACTGAAAGAGTGAGAATCATCAAAGTCTTCCCTTCTCAGATGATCTCTGAGGGAAGCAATTAAGCAAGTAAAATTAAACATAAAAAACACCTCATTAAGTATATTACTGTGTTGGATATTTTATTAGCTTCCTTCTGAGTTCATGTGAAGGCTCCATCACATTCTATAAATTTGTGTTACAGTGTTGAGTTAATTTCAGTTTGTAGAGATGGGAACTGCTGGGGTTTTTTAAATCACCTGCCCAGCAGATCCAAGGGCTTGTTTCTAACTTTGAAAGTACACATTAGTTTTGGCAACTTGTGCAGCTGTTTGATATCTGCATTATAACAAACCTGAACGGATGCTAGACAGTGGCACTATTACTGTTTTACCGACTGTGTACATTTGGAGGGAAAACCCAATTTATTATTTAAGATTAGCATTATTATTTTAAAACATGAATGTCTCTTAAGCTTTTTTTTTTTATTTTAGTTGCATAGTGTTGATGACATCCAAAGGAAGGCTTGTCTCTAGAGGACCTTGGACTAAAATACTTGAAACACTTGGAGCGGACAGAAACGTTAAACTAAAAGGTAATTGTCCACTGTAGTCATCCTTCAAGGAGAAAATTCTCTGGAGATGAGCCTAAGTAGTGAATTCAATTTTCATGTGCCATAATGCTTTTGAAATATTGCTACTGGGGTATTCAAACTTATTTTTTTCTGACTGACACCCAAGTCTTTACAAGTCCTTTAGAAGTGTCCATTTGTTCAAGGTCATATCCACATAGTTTTCATTTTGTCTCTTGTTATGTACAATTATCACCATCGTCCCCTGTGGGGAACCCCACTGACTACGGCCGCAAAGGCTCCTCCAATCCCATGGAAGTCGTTGCATTACCGCTACTCAGATGTGATACTCTTAGGTATCTGAACGGACAAGGTGTCCAAAAAACACAGACGTATCTTTATCATAGACTCTTGCTATGTTTACCCACAATCCCTTACTAAAGCTAATCATTGTGTGACCAGACACATTGACAGTCCTCACAGCTGCTGCAGCTCCCGGAGTGTGTCAGTATATATAGTCGATTACTTTCCTTTAGATTCCATTTACTTTGCAGCTGTCAGGTTGATCAGTTCTGAATTGACTCTGGAGAAGAAAATCATATTTCACAGCATGTGTGGTCCACATAGAATTTTCTTTCACGAAACAACATAGAATCACCGTAAGAAGAAAAGGGACACCCAGGGAAGATAAAAATATTACCACAGTCAAGGCTATTCATATTTATATATTTGCTGTTTAATATTGCAAAGTAATACAAATCAAAGTTTCTTTTTTTGTTGTTGAAGTTCTTTTTAATAGTTTCCACAAATCATTAACCTGCTTTGGGAACAAAGATCTGTTGAGCAGTGCTCTCTCTGTTCTTTTCAGTTTCTGAAACATGACTTGACTGTTTTTTCATCCTTTCCGATCAGAAACTAACAGGAGATGTGTTTTCTCGATCATTTTGAGGTTTAACGGCTTATAGTTGAGGCGGAATGGGTTTAAAAACATTTGTTTTCTGCAATTGGACTTGAATTTCATAATTCTAAGCCAGGTCCGATATAATAGTATTTATACTAATACTATAATACAGTAAAGAATTTGGGTTGTAGAGCTTTTCCACAGAGTCTCTGGAGTCTATACTAGTCTGGAAAACTTTAACTCCTGTGAGGTTCTCCTTTGGAGTAAAAACGGTAGATTGTTAAATGTTCAGTGCCAACTGAACTTAACATGAGTTTAACAATTGTGTTACAAAAAAAACAGCAGGTGGCACTGTTGCATTCCATATGTCACTTTGGCTGAAATGTCAGTTCAGGAGGTCAAGAGTCCATTGCGTGACAATCAAATTGTATTGTACCACAAACCTCATCAAAACTTTCAAAAAGTAAAATGAGGTCAAAATTATTTGAAGTGCAGAAATTTAACATCCAGTGAACAGAAGTTTTTATTAAACCAAAACTGCTGTAACAGTAATCATGATTACAAGAATTTTGTTCAATGGGTTGTTTAATAAAGTTCTAATTTGGCCTCCGTAAAGTTCTCCTTAATTCCAGCTGGTGAAGCTGTGTCCCACTTCTCAACCCAGGTGGGCTGCTCGCCGGTGGTATCTGGAGTGGGTGCACTAATATGTGTGAAGTGCTTTGGGTTCTTGGGGATGAAAGGTGCTATATAAATGCAAGGAATCCCTAGGATTATCTTGAAAAACAACTAACAACATTGTCGTCATATATTTTAAAATAAACATTTTACATCTCTCTACCCACCAAAAGGCATTTACTGCATTGAGGCACAAATGTTTTGTCACTTAAAACCTTAGGAAAATTCCAATGGCTCAAGTGAACATCTTTCATCTGTAAGACATCCGTTATATACCGTATGTGCCCATTATTCATTATTTTTAATAACATGGCACAGATCTGAGGTTCCTGTCTTGCTCAGTTGTATTAATTGATGCATCTTTGTGTTTCAGACAAGATGGTGTTCGTGGGGTTCAAGGGGGACTACAGGCCTGAGTGGGTGAGACTGGTCACGGATGACGAGGTGGCTAAAATCCACCAGGTGGTGCCGATCCCTGTGGTGAAGAAAATGAAGCTCTGAGGAACAGGGGGTGAGGGGGGATACTGCATTCCTGCTGTCAGCACTGCCTGAGCGGACTGTGCGAGGGAGCACTAGCGGAAACACAGAGGACTACTGACTTCTACCAACGTGGAGCTCCTGCTCACACTGGCTCGCTATCTTCCCAAGCTCGTTCTGTTGTACCTGACAAATGTTGACGTAAGTGATTCGACTGTAACGTGTGTGATGAATATACTTGACTTCAAGAAAACAAAAACATTCCGTCTTTGACAAAATGATGTGGTGTTAACCCCAGTCCCATTCCACCTTTTTCCAAGGGGGGGTGGGTGAAACTCTGTTTTTAACAGTGAGTGTAGAGTCTGTTTGTTTTTTTTTGTTATTTCCACACTGCTTTCATATAAGAGTTTTTTGGTCCATTTCTCTTTTATTGTGTACCAGCGAGAAATTGAAATAAAAAGCAACTTCCTTCAATTTAATGTACGCACTATGAAAAAAGGTAATTGATATATTTTGCCTAAAAAAACTGCTTCTGTTTAGTGAATTGAATTGAGTCACTATTCAATCTAGAACCATTGGCCAATTTCTCAATTAGGTATCAACAGGCTACTAGTTTTCCTATTGCCGAAATAGCTGGTCTTTTTTCGGAGATCGTAGTTGTTAGTGTTTTTGTATGTTAAATGTGTTTCTAAAATGCTTCAGATTGATAACAGAGATATATTTTCTACTTATTTATTGTACAGGCACAATGGAACAAATTTAGAAGGGACATCGTTTGAGTTGTAATGTATTTGCTGTGTAATTGTCCTAGCTGTAAAAACTGATGCAAGCACACAATGATGTACCAGTACTCAGACTAGTGTATAAATAATATCATGTAGAAATATTGTTTTATGCAGTATGTTGGCTGGATATATAGTAATTGTGATGTAAACATGGACATTCTTTTCAGATCTGTTAAATCACATACCTTTTGTAAAACAAACAACCAACAAATACAAAATGATGTAGCGTTTTTGGTAATACCATATATGTACAGTGTTCTCAATAAAGTGTTTCAGCAAACATCTGCTGCATTCCTGTTTTGGTACATCTTTTTCTTTATTACAGATAATGTTAAGTCTGCTATAACACTTATTTATGGAACGAAGTTACTCATTACGCCATTATAAGTAACTTACCTGAATGATGCAGTACTGTTAATAGAGCTGAATTTCTTAATTCTTCAGTATGAATATCTCTCCTAGAATAGCTTTGTGATAGGTGGGAAAACAATTGAACATGATGCCCTTGTACCACCATTTTGGTTTAAGCAAATTCCTATATTTCAGTATTCAAAAATCTTTTCCAGCTTCAGGTTGACTTTAGCAGCTCTGAATTGCTTTTTCCGGGCACTAGAAAACAGTATACACACAGTAAGGAAACTGGTGTTTCCCACTTGTGACTGGTATCATTTTCACGCTAATGCAGCTGCTTGAGAAAGCCTCACTGTCTGCACACACGTGGCTAAATCTGAGCTAGCACACCCACATGCATACAGTAGTTCCTGTGCCTCCAAGCTCTACTGAGTCCGCGGCTGTTTCATCTATTATAAATCATTGTGGAATGCTCTGCTCAAGCACACATGCTGGGAAAGCAAAAAAGAGCAACTCGTAAAAATTCAAGGAATTTAGCAGGAGCTTCAAAATATACTTAGTTACAACACGCACACACTAAAATGTTTGCTCTGCTAATACTTAGAAATGATGGTAAAAGCTCTTAATGGAATGATGTAAAATCTAATAAAAACCTATTCAAATGGTTGTTTACAGAGAACGCATACACAGAGCAGCAGTGTTCACTTTCATAGGCACAATGTTGCTAAGAAACACACAGATCATGTTCCTCCTCCTGTTTGTATTTTTGCTCTTTAATTAGAAAGGCTTTTATCTTAATGGGTTTTTCTTACAGTTTATTCATTCCACTTGACACCCATTTCAGTTGTAAACACATTTATCAGATCCGGCAGTGTGGGATTTCATTTGTGTTTATCCCTAAAAAAAAGGCCAAAAAAATCAGGATAATTAAGGTAATCCTGGAAACAAAACCATAAAATGATTAGGAGACATGTCGCAATGGTTTTGTATTCCGTGTTGATTATAAAGAGAGCAAAGGCACTTTTCTTAGCAAGGTGCATGTCTGCTTCTGATTGATCACTGCAGAGGTGAAGGGGGAATTAAATGAGACAGATGTCGGGTTCACCTCTTGATGGTGATGAAGTGTGAAACTCCAGAAGCCGCGCAATTTTCTCAGAATGTTCCTATGAGTTTCGGTGGAGGTGGCATGTTCATTAACCCTTTCAAATGAGTTTTTCATCTCTAAAGGAATACTCTTCGCATTAATAAAGCAGCCTGTGTTATTTTAATGGCCCTGTTGTGCAATTACATTTATTATGTTCATTTATAAAATTCTCCATCTTTTAATCTAAAGTGTTAAATTTAATTGCTTGTCCGAAGAGCTACTGCTTTAATTAAGTCAATAAAATGCAGGAAAACAAAAACAACTGACAAGGTACTAAGAAGTATGAAATCCACTTATGCTGCAGTAGCTGTAATTAACTCATAGGCAACATAGCCAAACCTGCTATCTTTACTTCTGTATTCAGAGCCTTGCAAAAGTATAGTAATTACCCCCATGCACATTTATTTCCAATTTCATTTTTTGTGGTTATAACACTTGCTGTAATCATGACATTGTGAAGTAGCAATTATAATTTGTTATAGTATATACACATTCTTATAGCAGGTTCTTTGCTTAGAAAAATTTTAAGAAAAGACCCAACCTTGAAAACTAAAAAGCCTTTAAAGTAAATATGTGTCAAAATAATTAAAAACCACCAAATAGAGGAAGGGTGTAACAAATATTGAAATCTCTGAATATCCTTGTGAGCCTAACCTACTCAGTCAATAAGAAAAGGAAGGTGCACATACCACCGAGATGCATCCTAGACCAGGCTGTACCACCAGATTGAACAGCTTGGCAAGAAGGACAACTGAAAATTACAGCAACAAAGTATAAAAGGGAAATGGCAAACGTGCCAAAAGGTTTCGTGATAGATTATACAAAATAGGACTGTTTTGGTCTCAATGCAGAGTGGAGTGTACATCTGATACAAATAACAACACAGCTCATTACCCAGTCAAAACTATCCCTACAGTCAAGCATGATGATGGGAACTGGAAAGCTTGAGATTTAGGGGAAAATGAAAGTACTAGGTACTAGAGGAAAACCTGTTCCAGGCTGCTAAAGACTGAAAATTCTTCTTTCAGCAGGACAATGAAAGGACAAGGCCAAAGCTACACTGTAGTGTTTTAAGATTTAGTGAATGTCCTTGAGTGACTCAAAGACCTGACTTGAATCCTACCGAGAATCCGTAAAAAGACTAAAAAAACTGCTATAGATAAGTGATCCACAAACTACTTAAGAAAGCTTAAGCAAATCGGAATTTGGAATTGAATTTTTTTTTTCCAAGCTGGTCTACAAAGTTGATACTTACGCAAAACACTTACAGCTGTAGCTGCTGCCAAAGGTGCTTCTACCCAATAGTTCAAGGGCATTACTTATGCAAACGCCATATTTCAGTTTTTCTTTTTAGTTTTAACAAACATTTACTGTAATTTACCTTAGCCTAACAAGTCTTCAGTTTGAGCATTCAGGTTTTGAATAAAATATTTAATTTAAAAATGTGTGTATGTACATTGTAATTTCACAAAACAGGACACTGTAGTAAGGTTCTGAATACTTTTGCAAGGCACTGTATAATAGTGGTCTGCATATTTGTTATTTATTAAATGTCTTTGACTAAATATGTTCCTTGGGTCATCCTGTGTAAACTCATCCTGAAATTCAGTGCATACATTTGTCCAGTAGATGGGGGATTTGAGGCAATAATTTTATTTCACAAGTAATTTTTTTAAATGTGGTCATTATGGGGCATTTTGTTATCTACTGCGGCTTCCTTGAAGATATTAACTTCTGATAAGATAAAGATACAATATTCATGTCATTTTAAAATATTTTTTAAATCTCTCAATTACAATTACATTTTATTGCAGACAATTAAAGAGGGCACCTACTGAACTTGACAACCAAGAATATGATGAGGGGATCATAAATCAAGAAAACTACAAATAAAATGCGATTCTGAATATCCTCAAAAAAATTAAAAAAACAAAAAGCATTTGGACAAAGAGGATGATGGCCAACAGATGCTATTCTGGGATCCAAAGAATCTGTAGAGTCTTAGTTGTTCTCCATTGTGTAATACTTGTGACCCGTGTTGTCTTCTGAAGAAGCGTGTGATCATCCTGTGAAGCTTAAATGGTCTACAACTGTCAAAACATTTTTGTAGTATGTGGGGACCATATCACCAATTCTAGGTTCAATAGTTTGGTTAGAACCCCATACATGAGATAGAGAGATTCTGAAGTATTTGTATAAAGTATTTGGAATGACTCACCTAGCCGAGAAAATGCTGTAGTCTCCCTGCATCTATCCTTTAGCTTATCATCTTCATTTCACTGTTTCACTGTGATATACAGTACATGAGTGTAATGGTACATAGGTTTTGGCCATTGTAAGGCTGCTGATAGCTTGCTGCAGTTCTTCTCATAGTCCTCCAAACACCATCATAATGTTATTTTGTGAAATGGGGCCAATCTTTCTACACTCCTCTTCAACGTGACACAAATTGACTGTTTTTACAATGTGATGCTGCCCCACCTAAAAGAATTGTCTTGTGTGAATGTTGCAAACCTCCGCAGAGATGCCTAAGTATTATCCTTTGAAAGAGGTGGGCTGCCATACAGTCATGCCGCATAAAGTCTGTCACATACATTCAAGATGATCACTCTCATTGTTACAGTAGCAGACAAATGAATTCTCACTTGATCATTGTGCCAAAGAAAACATTGTGTAGCATCCTAGAGAACAAAGCAGTAATTCTCAACAGCTTGATCCAAAAAAATACTCATTACTCACCTGATTTAAGGGATTTTTTTTCTGTTGTTTGGAGAATAATGATTGTTACTTTGCAGTGAAAACATGCCTTCTGAGAGTCTTGCACAAAATATATCTAAAGATTCTCCTTCAATCCTGATCAATGTCTATAATACGTATCTAGCAGTTGATGTCCGTAAGACCTCGTCAATTACGTGAAGTTACAAACTGCTTTTAAGTGCAAATGTCCTGGATAAAGAGCATCTCTTTACTTAAAACACCACCAAAACAACTTAACTAATATAACATTAGAAATATTCATCTGAAACCTTGACTCAGAACTTTCCTCCATATGACAAATGTCTACATTGAATTTTTGGACAATTTGAGGTCGTACTAACATCAAAGCTGAGTTCAACACTGATTAACATATTAAAACACCACGGTGGATCTAACATGTTCAAAAAAACATTGTAAGAAGTTACTGTCTATATGCACAACATGGTTCCAATATATCATCACTCAGGAACAAACCCCAATCCATTGCACGCCCCCATACACAAAAATAATGCTGGCCTGTCACAACTGACAGGAGAACTGTAAAATAAGTACATACTGATCTTATTAAATCATTTGCTTCACTGATCTTTTCTACAGAATTTTAGCAATAGCAATCTCCAGATAAACAATTCAATAGGTGCTAATTTGCTTTCTTTCACATCCATATATGTCCTATATGATACAAAAGATTACCAAAAATAATGTGTAAATTATTTTTGTCTGGGAAAAGAGTTCCATATTATAAAGTTTGAATGCTACCATTTTCACAACCTACACAGCTGAACAGACAGCTGATAATGTAGGAAAACAATTGTTTGATGGCATATTAAATTATATGCAAGCATATGCTTTGGAGTAGGGTATCTGGTAAACTGAAGAAGAAAAAGTAAAAATTAGTAAAGGCGTAATTACTGTACGGGGTGACATTTTGGTTTTTTTTTAATCCTTTTCAAGTAAATTAATAAGCAAACTGCAGAATTGTAAAGAGATGTAGTTAGCAGTGCTGCTTTAGCTTTTGGGCCCTGAATTTAATCTTAGGAAGGGTCACCTTCTGCATGGTGTTTGCACTTTGTCTTTGAATGGAACCTAACCTTTACAAGTGCTGGCCTGGTAGGTTAATTTGTTTCTCCGATCTGTCCCTGCGGGTACCCTGCGATGCAACGGCATCTTGCTCAGGGTGTAGTCCCACATTATACCCATCGTCTGTGGAGATGGCCTCCTTCTCAGTGTGACCCTCTGTGGGGTGACAGAAGATTGGGTGAATGGGGGAAGTATTGCTCTGTAAGTAGTTGGGGATGCTTTTGGAAAGGATCACTTTATGCAGAATATGTATACTGATTGGTAGCCATAACATAAAACTTTTGGATGCAGTAAGTTCTCTACAAATTTCAAATCCTGGGAAACATGCTCTCCTCTCCTTGAGAACACATCCATGAATGACAAGAAAGCACTGCAAACCAAGTGGTCTTATAAGGAGTGGCTTTCTGCCAGGCTGCTGCCAGAGCCCCCTGTTCTGTAGACACTGTACTTGTGCATTTCTAACGCTGCCTATGATCTAAAGGCAGCTGGCTGCAATATCAACAAACATGACTGTATTAGAAACCTTTATTGTACAATTTCAAATAATTAAACAATTACATGCCATACCAGGGATCAATTATTAAATGATTTAATTAAAAAGGAAATTTGAATTGGGAACCAGTGAAAATCATGATACTTCAATGAGATATAATTATATACTTCAAAATATTTCTACTGTGCTTGAATTAAGAACATACTTATTTTAAAAATGAAACAGGCCTGAATATGTATAGAATGTATGAACAATTTAATAGAACGTGTTAATTAACAGAAACATCAACCTTACAATATAAATGTTTGTGTGCAATTTTCCTTGCTTACTTTTTGACACTGATGAGCATCTTACAAATGTAGGAAACATTTTTATGGTTATAACTGCAGTAACATTACTATTGTTTAGTTTATAAAAAGGATTGGTGTTTAATTTAGAGCAACACTACATGACCTAGTGATTCTTTTTTCAAAATACTTAAGTGGCACTTCAACCATTCAAATTACAAAGAAATCACATGAAGTTTAAAAGACAGAAATACTGTAATCAGGTCTTCTCAGAAAATATGTTTACCTCCAGAACCACGTGCTGATCTCAGTAAACAGAACATTCCCAACAGAACTTAATCTCCAAAAATTATCTGGCTGTCTTAAAGTGGCCACCAGGCACAGTTTTAGGAGAAACCTGCCATAAAACAGTTAATCTCAAAAGTAACAGTACAAGATGCATCCTCGTTTAGAAAAAAAAGAAGTCAACCTTTTTTAATGACAAAATTCCAAAATGGAGATATAAACTAAAAGGAAAAAAACTTGACTTTCCAGCACTAACAAATGTGATTTCAACAAAGGTTTGCATTGCAAAGTTTACAGGAACAACTGTAGACTTTTACCATGAGCTGTACCATGGGTTCATCGCACATCAAGTAGCTCTCCTAGTTTACTGGTAACTGGATGAATGTTCGGAAAAGAAAACTAATCCAAGTGCTTTATATTTTTAAGTTCTTGTTTGTGTGTTCTTCAATTGCCAGTAGGCATGTCTCACACTTACAATGAGGAAGCTGCCTGTGTTAGGGTGTTCTGTCTGGTCTGTAAATGTTGACTGTGTCGCCTACAAGAAAGACATCTCATGACCATGCAATCCAAGGGATGAACAAGGTCACAACTCATCTTTCTTTTTAGAAGACTTGTTATTTTCCTTCCCTGGTTTCTTGTCTTCACGTTTCTTCTTTTTCTTCTTCTCTGTATTAATTTCATTCAGGTCTTTATCATCTTTGTGGCCCCCATCCTTCTTTGCTGCTTTACCAGGATACACCTGGCCCTCAACAGTCACGTCTGCGCAGCGGTCCTGACTCATGAGGAAGTCTTTGACCTCCCAGGCATAGCTCCCGTCGCGCAGCATGAAGATAACGCGGTTAGAGCCGACAACAAACCTAGATGGAGGAAAAGGCGCAGGGTTACGCACATTTATCAGTCCGCCTTTCCCATATCGAATCCTGGCACATGTGGGACTTTCGCACCATCAGTTCTGAACTTAACTCTCACTGTTACAGCAAATATCTCCTTTAGAAGGCCAAGTGTGCTTGCACAAAAAAAAGCTACTTTTGGCTAGGCAGTCTATTGCATATATTAAATGCAGTATAAAAACAAAACGTAAAAGAATGACAATCTGATACAAAGCCATGAGAAACAACTTAAATGGAAATGGAACGCACTTTGTCTCAACTACTTCCTCGCAGCCAATCAAACATGAGAGAAGTTCTGAAACTCAGCACCTGGCACAGGGTTAATGCAAATGTATACCCTCCTAGTAGAGGAAACAAAATGTAAGCCTTATTAAGTACATAGTTTTTTTAAGGATACAATCAGTCTAATTAAATAAGGTATCAATCTGAACAGAAACCACAAAATACAGGGACCCCCTGAAGAGCAGGGCTGTGAATACAGCTTCAGAGAGAAAAATCACACTTCAGGTCATTACGAATCATGACAAAGGTGACCGATTCAAAACGGCATACAAGAGTCCAGAACATAACTAGTTCTCAACAATGGTGCAATGGGCCCGTACATGTCTATGCAAGTCAACTGAGGCAGTTTTAACAATGCAACTGAGTCACATAGCCCTGAGGCTCCTTGACAAACACCTCTGAGCATGTGAGTCATTAGAGTGGCCTCCTCTCTTAAGCACTTTTTCAGCTCACTTTGCTTATTTGGTACTTAAATAGCTAAGTGAAACTAAAATTGTCACCTCTGCTTCCTGAAGGAGCCACCTGTTCCAGATACCAACACCCTTTGTCTAAAAATGCACCTCCTATTCTCAGTCCTAAATGAATTCCCTTCTGATGACTAATATCCCCCTTTGAAAACCTAGGATTTTAGTGGATCAAACTGTCAGACTCCTTGTAGTAGAATAAAATGTAGCACCTTTAGCCTGTTTATGACAGTTCCTGAAGACCAGGAATCATTCTTTTTGCTTTTCACTTTTCTTTAAACTCTTTCTAAGGCTATAAAATCCATTTTTGGTATAGCAACTAAAAATTGAGCTCAAAATTCATATTCAGCCAGCACACTGTAAGATTTACCTTACAGAAGACATACCTTGATTAAAATTCCAAACTGTTATATATTCAAGCATTCTGTTCACTTTTTTATTGCTTCCCCACATTGTCTAGATATGACCATAGAATATATGCATAAACACGCAAAACCCTTTCATGTGCAGCTTCCTGCAGAACCACCCTTCTGATATGTATAGTTTATGTTCCTACTTCCTATGCAGACCATTTTGCACTCAACATTGCTAAATTTCAAATGTCTGCCCAATCCGTTTTTGTAACTCTCTTACTGCTGTTTCAGCATTTGCCAACTCCCCTGTTTATGTACCAGCTGCAAATGTAACTAGTTTTCTAACTACACCAGAATCTACATTGTTGATATAGATAAGAAAGAGGAACAGGCTGAAAACGTAAGTAGTGGTGTACCACAGGGATCCATCTGCAAGTTTAGAGGCTGTGCCCCTCTTTTTGATGACAGGGAAGATTACCTCTTCCCTCAACAGATGGTGAAATGCATAAATGTACCTTCTATAAAATGATCAAGTAAGGAAGAAGTTGATAATGATCCTGCGTGCAACAATGCAGATACAGATCAGGGCGATTTGCGCTGCTTTAATAAGATGTCAGTAACACACATAACATTATTTTCTTCGACAGTTTCTTCTCATTCTGCTGCAGTGAAAGTATGAATTTAATTATTACGAAATCCAGGCATTTTGGCATGTCATGTGTTTCAATTTGCAACATCATAATTTTATACTAAATGTGTACCTATCAGTTGCAAAGTGTGATGTGTCTGAAGGGTTTACCAGAGCAGACAGTAAGTTAACATGATATTTGTGGTTCAAGCCCCTCATTTTTTGGCAGCCATTCATTTGATCTTTTTGTGTAAATCTGCTAAGCTGAAGTGCAAGAGGGCAAGATTTATTTTCACTTTATCAGAGCTGAAGCTCACTGGTAAATATACATATATACATTGAAAACAGAGGCCAAATCCCACAAATATGGTCACGTTTGCTACAGAGATGAAAAAAAAACTAGAAGACAATGATCTTTCTTTAATGTTTATGCTAACACTTGACCTGGAACCTGAAAGGCCGACTTTCCTCACACATCTGAATATTGATAGCAGGAGCTGCAGAAAAGCTGGATTACAATCTTCACCTCTACAATGATAGTACCAGATGCCTGACACCCAGATGGAGTGTACTGTTATGCAGGAGGCCCCAGATAATGGGTCTATGCGCCTACCTCTGCACATCATAGTTGGCATTGAAGAGGCTCCCTTGCCAAAGACTGGTGATCTCCTCTGTCTCCTTCTCCGTGGGGGATCCAGACACAGTAGCGAACACCATGAGCGTCCTCCCTTTCTTTGTCATTTTAAGGAGCTCTTCTGGCTTCGATGGGTCGATTTTTGAGAAGTCTACCGGTGGGGGTGACCTCTTGTGCTCAGGAAGATCGCCTTCTTCAATGTCGTCATCTTTCTGCAGAGAGACGGGCTCATTTCCCTCAGTGTGGTATTTGCATTACGGTGGCATGCCTTGTTAACGCCTGGCGCCTGCACCGCTACAATAAACCACTGCGTGCGCGATTTTTACACGGATCGTTCAAGTGTAGGGCTAGCCCGCTCGTCACGAGATTTTACACATCTTTCAGGTTAAAGTGTAATGTTTCGTGAAGTCAAAGATCAAACCCCTGCACCCAGAAGTTTTTTTCCCCCTTGTGATACTGCTAGTACTGTGGGAAGGATCTAGAATGATCTCGAAATTTGGAAAATTGGATGTGTTCTCTAATATCTTAAAGTAGAAAGAGAAAAATAGACTGCAATAGACATTTTAACATTTGTAAACATTTATTATTAAAAGACTACAGTGCCTTCTTTCTTCCTTTCCTGGAGAAAGAGGGGCACAAAATCATTTTACTTCATGTTTCCAATAAAGTTTCCTACTAAAGGACAGCAGATATTTATTGTGCAATACCGAAAGTGCCATCTGTAAATTTGTTCTATCTGGAGAACTGGAGGACCGGTTTGCGCTAATTTCCAAAAAATCGATACGATTTACGAAAAAAAAACTCGAAAGAAATTAAGCTCTAAAGTATTTTCCTTTGAAGAGTGTTTTTCCATGAAAAAAATAAATCCTCTGTCCTAAGTTACCTTCTTTTAAGTATCAACTTTATAACTACCTTCTGGGTAGTAGGTAACAAGTTCAAAAATTTTCACTTACTTAAATTAAAATTATATTACGAAAATGTAAAAAAAATGTTTTGAGAAACATTTTATAGGAAACCAGCCTCTGGACCGTTCAGTGTGAGCCGTGTGTATCAGTTTAAACAGTAAACCCATACCTCCCATTCCTCCAACAGTCTCGCCATATCTGCATCATTATAATCCCTGATATCTTTTTTCTTTTTGGGTTTTTGGTTTTTAACATCAGCCACAACAGAACATACTACAGCCAGACACAAAAGCACAAGCCCATAAGACCACCAGCAGGGCGACGCCATCTTTTCCGGTTGGTGTGATCTGACTGGCTGTAACAGTGTCCGCCGCGTTAGGAAAACGTCATTCCAGGCGTGGCTTCATAGACCTGCCCCCCCCCCGAGTAGCAAAGGTCAGACCAGTTTTCTTCCTTTACTGGTAGGAGAGCCCGGGTATCTTTCTCAAAAAGACCTAGAGGTTTAAAGTTTTTGACAAAATTCACTTTATAACTACCAGAATACATAATGAAACGTCATAGAATATTAAAAGCAGAACGCCGTGGTCACCAGATCGAGTACAAGCGTCGTCTGAGCAGGTTTCCTGCAGCTCAGACTGGAAGTTAAGCACTTGTTTTTGAGGATCGCTGAGCAGTCTATATCCATGGAAACAAGGTTGATAATTACTGCACAGGCAAGATCTTCTGAGTGATATTTTTTCCCATCTTTATGTTTCACATTTTGTACCTTAATGACATGGTTAGTGTTACACCTGATTAAGTAACTGAAAAATCCCATTTCTTCTCTTTGTACAGTGAATCGGTCTGAGATGTCATGGTGGTGCAGTGGTTCGCATTGCTGGCTTGCAGAGCTGGGGTCCTAGGTTCAATTCCTGGGGTGCTATCTGTGTGGAGTTTGCATGTCCTCCCTGTGTTTGTGTGGGTGCTTCAGTTTCCTCCTACAGTCTGAAGACATGCTGGCAGTTTAATTGACTTATGTAAAATTGGTGTGAGTGTTTGTTTTTGTCTGTCTGCCCTTCAATGATCTGGCAACTCGTTCAGGGTGTACCATGCCTTGAGCATTGCATGCTGGGGTATGCTCCGGCTCCCCCACAGCCCTGTATTGGATAATGAGGTTAGAAAATGGATGGGTGGATTAAGTGATCTGAGATGAAGCCAACAGTTAACAGATGCACAATCTATATGCTGAAGAAATTTTGCTGGACGCTATAAGATCTTCCCCAGGGTGCTCTGAAACTGCAATGACTACATTCCTGTACCATTTAGGAAATTGGTGCCTCATATCACAGCAGCAACAACAAAAAATGTAAAGCCATCATGACTCAGACAATGTGTAATGATTACGTTCAGGGTAATATACTGCATATAAATGGAAGTTAAAATATTATTAATAAAATTATAAAATTGATTATATTGAAAATGTACAGAATGTAATATATGAGCAGCAAATTGTTGGTGTGAACTGTGTTATTTACTGAGTGGTAGTAGCTTGTAAGACTAAACAATCTGCACAATTGGGCATCTTCATGACATTTTGTTTATTTACATTTTTGCCATGTGCTGACTTTAGCAGCCCTGTACTAAAAGCCAGTTTGGGTCTTGAGTTTTCCCTCCAAAATTTTCTTGTTCATTATGATGAGGAAGCTAAAATATAATACCCAGATGTTGTGTTATGGTTGATGGCGGAAATGAATAATGTGTTAAGAGAATATGAAACTGATTTCCAATGAAACTGTGAAATGCTTATAGCAGAAGCTCATTTCATTTTGCAAAGCAACACAAACACATGCGCAGAAATAAAATGCTGAACACACTAAGCATAATGTAGAAACAAATGACTAATTCAAAACGTAATGATCTCCTTTAGAAATTCAAAACCCTTAAAAAAGTTATTTAAAATCTACGTTAAGCATTCTAAACATGAGACACAATGTTATTTAATATATAAGTATCAGTTCAAATTCAGTTTTATTATATCTTGAAGATATTGTGTCATTATGTCTCACTATATGAAAGGAAACATAATAATATCAGTAATTTCATCCTTTAATAGAAACCTTTATAAACCCTTTATACAGTAGAATAAAATTTAAACATTTATATATTAAAATATAAATATATATATATTAAAATATATAAAATTGTATTTTTGTGATGACCTGTTACATTTGGGATCTATATCACAAACAAAAAAGAATGTCTGAATTCAAATGTAACTTGCTAACATTAGTATCCTACCAAAAAAATAGGATATGGCTCTGAATTGTGTGCATTGCACATTCATTAAAGATACAAGATTATTTTTTGCATTAAAAAACACTACCCATCTGGTCTGTCTTTACAATACAGAACAGATTAACTGAATACCCATATTCTCTAATGTTATCCACTTTTTGGAGATGATAACTGTTTATTTCATTTCAATATTCTAGTATTGTAGTTATACAGTATATTGACTATAAAGATTTTGTTGAACCATAGTGTTTAAGTTACATTTCGGACAACTCCAAAATGTCAGGTTCATTCGGTGTAGCAAGATTGCAGCATTCATTGGCTGAACAGTGTCTGTGGAGGCCTTGCAACTGAAACAGGCTGAACTTTTGTGTCCTGGATGACATCCAGCTCAGAAAGGGACGTGCACCCGTGTCCTCAGATGGGTGTCAAAGGGAGTAAGACTTCCCTTTCATTGTGCTGTTTTCCAGGACTTCAGGCCAACATTTTCTAATTTTGGCAGAAAAACATTGTGATGTGACTGGGCATTGAAAAACACAGAAATCTGCTTGTTTCACAGAGACACACTTTGAAGAAATATGACACACAAGCCACCATGAGACTCACTGTAACTGATAAATCATTATTTATCTCAGGCCTTTCTTGATCTAAAAGGAGGGTGCTTTTGCTCGCTGTCAGGCAACTAAGATCACTTTTAGGAAATCTGTATGTTTGTTATGTACAGTATGTTATTTGTAGACATAGTCATTCCCACTCTGAAATAAGGATATCTGCTCCTTTATTAAGTATAACAGCTATTGTTTCTTAATATACTTATTTGGTGCCAAAAGGCATGATCGTTTGGAATGCTGTATCATAGCTCTTGGGTTTAAATTAAATTCTGGACTAGGACACCTTCTACATGAAGTTTGCATGTTCTTCCAATGTCCATGTGATTTTTTTCTGGACTTAGAATTTCCTCCTAAATGCTGGTTACATTTAAATACCTCTAAGCACTAAATTGCACTTCTGAGATTTGACCTCGTACTAATACGTTGACCAAATATTACTTAAAACACTGTATCCCAGTTACAGATAGATTTCCTGATGATAATTCTTTTATCAAACACTGATTCAGTTGTTCACAAAGTGAACTAGTGAATTAGCTCTTTACAAATATGCGTGCTGGGTGGCGTCATTGCTTGAATGGCATGAGGGAGTACTGTTGATCTGTGCATGCCCTTCAGTCTTATCATCTTCACTGCTCTTTTTTTCTACCCAGTAACTCTAAGAACAGGTCTCTGTCCATCCTCACCAGGCACCAGTTTGACACCGTTTTCCTGTTGGCATCCTTACCAGCAAGGCACCCTTGAAAATTTCCCCTTTTTACGCTCATGGGAACGCAGATACTGGCAATGAGCTGTAAGCCAAGATTCAAGTTTCATTGAGCCAGGTGCATGAATCCCCTTAATCTGGCGCTATATGATGTTCAAGCAGTATGAGCTAATAAGGAACTACCACACAGGGCAAGACATCTCCTGTATGTGAAATTGAATCCTTTTTTCTCTAAATTACATGGCTAGACTGTAGTACATGTCAGATTGCACAAGCTGACTCTCTGGCTTTACAGAGAGCTGTTCAGAACCCCAATAAAGAAATAACAAAAATGTAACATTGGTTAAAATATTACATTCTGCATAGATATCATTATTGTTAGTGAAATTATCAGACACTAATTACAGGGTTGAACAGGCATGCTCTACTTTTACCTCTAAATGTTAATGCACTAACACACAGAGTGCAACACATTGAGCAGCTCAGTCAACAGAAACAGAGCAGTTTCCTCTCAGGACACTCCACCCAATGGCACTGTGCCCTGTGCAGCTGCCTGCACTACAGACAGTGCAAAACGGTTATGGCCAGAATAGTGGCTGTACATTCCAAGATTTCACACTGGACTTTGAGAACATGCAAGTTGGTAACAAGCCGTAGAGCAGGGGTTCCCAGTTCTGATCCTGGAGGGCCGGTGGTGTTTTGAAGAATTTTCAGTGCAGCTGGGCTCTTGACAACCTCAGTCAGCTCATTATTGGTTTAACGGGGCCAGTTTACCAAATTGTCACAGCTCTTCAGGTGCTGCTGCCTTAAAGAGACTCGGAAAACCTTTCAGACACTCCCAGACCAGAGACGGGGGCCCTGGCTTTAGGGTGATCGTTAATTTCTAAAATTGCACATTAATTTCAGAAGTAAGGAAATGATCTAAAATAATGTAATTATAAACATTAAATATTTTCTGAAGATAATGTGCAATTAATAAACTTAAATAATTATATTGTGAGTAATTAAGAAGGAAAATGTAATATTACGATCTGGGTATGTTCATAGGAAAGTTATCTTTAATCACTGTAAATTTACATTTTAGAATCTAACTTGAATCCCGTCCCTTTTTAGTCCCACTCGTTTAAGTGCTGCAGGATATCACGGAAGTTCAAAGCAGGAAAAGCTCAAACGCCTTTTGATTATTTAATAGTTACAGTTCTGTTGTTTATCACATCACTTTGGTTAACAACAGTCCTTCACACCTGGAAAAACGGTTTAAAGTAATATACAACGTTAAAATACAGCGACATCATTCATTTCTAGATAACTGGGATTCGTTGTCTATCGGAATCGCAGCACATTTTCAATGAATAACATTAGCAAAATTGAAAATAAAATACAACAACGGTTTTTGGTCGGTTTATTACCGTTCTTTACAGACAACAGCGGTTGTGGTCAATGGTAATTGCAAAACAAATTCGAATCCAATACCTTCTCTTGCCTAGTATATATATTAAGCACGAAATACAAGTCAATGCAAACTAAAACGTAAATAGTTTAAATTGTTAATTTGGTTTTCTGATAATCATTCTAAATTTGCAGTTTCTTTGTTCTTGTAAACCAAATGGCATACGTCTTGTTACATGGTTTAGTGCGCCCAAATGGTAATGGTGTTTTTACTGTTTTGTTTTGTTTTCACTTAAACTTAAAAGATGACGAACCCCATTTACCGTCTCAACTCAACTTCAAACTCTCACACTTCTCATACTGCTTTGGACGCACGCCCACATAAGGCGAGTCTAGAGAGACAAAGCCCCTCCCCTGCCTCCGGATTGGTTAATTTGCAATCCCAGCGTTCTTTTTAGGTCTTGTTGGAGCGGTCTGTATTAGTGACGTCATAATCACCGAGGGCAGCGAAGAATCGAATTACACTGCCCACTGGCTTTCTGTGGTTTTTTAGATGATTTACTTTAAAAATGTCAAGAGGTAGGGAGGAATTTTAAAAAGTTGCTGTTCCCTTCGCGCGGATTAAATCCAGATACCAAATACACTAAATCGCCACACGCTTTTTCTGCAGTACGGCAGTAAGGCCATTATGATGATTTTATTATGATTCAATATTTGGTTACAGAAGGATGGATAATAGGAGATTTACTGCATATTTACGAAGGCGTGATACAAAGCTTTACAGAAGAAGGGATATGTCCAGGTACTTTTTTATGTTTGTGACCAGTAACATAATCCACTTAACATCAAACAGATGTCTTAAATCATTAAGCAATATTAAAATAAGAAGCAACATTTCTTATAAATAACCAGAGGTCCAGTTTCACACCGCGCGAGCTCGTAAGTACAGCAGCTTTGCATGTCTAACAGGAAAGACATAAGAATTTGAATAAGTAAATTGTATCAAACTAAATGGATTTTACAGAATCACCCTATGAAGAAGGTGCAAATGTACCTGGTACACAATGTGCCCACACCGTTGTGACAAACTAAACTGCAGTATTTTCAAATGGGGCGTTGATATATCTTTTTAAAACATAAATATTTGCATGGTCGCACATTCCACTATTTGCATACAGCGTGAATGTGCTTGGGGGAGAAAAAACGTAACGAGGTGACGCACAACACAAAATTGTGGTATAACTGGGGTTACAGCAAAGGCACTGGTTAGTAAGATCTTCAAGCTGTTTCAGTGACACTGTGTGTGTACAAAGTGCTTTTTAACGTAAGCACCATGACTCATCTATGATTTTTTATTTTACAACAGCTACCAATAAAGAAGAAGAGGAGCCGATGAAGGAAGTGGGGGGGGGGTGGCGATCGGTCCTGTCTGGGAACGCTACTTCTTTGGGAGGAATACTGTAACTTTGTCCTTACACCGGCAGTCGGATGCACCCACGTCCGGGGCCTCTGTAAGAGGGATGGCTTGTGGAAGAAGGATCACTAGGGTTTGAAATCGGAACTGCAGAAATCCGAAGGAAAATAAACTGCCACTTGGAAGTGCGTCAACACTCAAAAGGGGGATGTGTCTGGACATCTCGACCGGCCTCGTTGTCTCCGTTTAAGCCCGTGAGTGGGCTGGAAAAAACACAGCTGAAAGTTGCAGTTATTTTGGTGGGTGAGCGCTCCCCCTTAGTCTCGCTGTTACAATCAAGAAAGTACGGCCACACCCTCCTCCTGCTTCCTGATACAGAAGATGCCGCGGGAGGCTCTGTAAACCGACTTTCCATTAAAGAATCACGGGCACTTCTGATCCGAGGAGTAACACAGTGAACATGAGCGGGGGAAGTTGCGGCGGGTGCTCCCGGAGGGACATCATTTTGATCGGAACACGCTTCTGAGTAAAGGGGGGGAAAAATGATCTCAAAAGCGAAACCCGCCGCCTCAGACGCCGGACGAGGAGTGAACCGTGCTCCGCTGCTTGCTAAAGAAGGCGTCTGAACAAAAGACATGCTCATGGGACTGTACCTGCAGACAGAACTAGTTTACATAACGGGATTTTGTATGAAAAGGAAAAGATTAAAAGCCGAGAGAGGACCACCGCAGCTGGCTCGCCTGCTCTGATACTAGAGGCTTTTATTTTGGAAGATTAATGGAACGATGATGCAGGAGAAGCGCAGTGAGGTCACTCGGAGCTGTTCTGGCGGTGGTCGTGTTACAAGAGGCATGCGAGTGCGTCCTGGGCGCTTTAGGGCGGTCAGACTGCGCTCCATCACATCCTATTACACGGTGCATAGAAACCCTGCTGCCTTCCCGCAAGCAGGTACTTTCAATTCCAAATTACTAGACACAAAGTAGGCGAAAGGACACATTATCATTGGCTAAAACACATTAACTTCAATATACTTTACTTATATTTTTATTTTCTTATATATAAATATATATTAAAAAGTAATTTTTTTACCTTTATTTTTTATCGGTTATTGTTGTTAAATCCGCACTTTTGCCTAAGCAGAAGGCTTCCCGGTGGCACTGCAGTCTTTTTTTTTTAATTCATGCATTTCTTTGAGATTGTTAGACTAAGATAGTGCAACTTCAGGTGGTTATGTCAAATCCATAAATATTGTATTACAGCAAGATACAACCTGTGAATATTTCAATTGTAAAACAGGGCGTTTTTAGGGAAAAGGTAAAGGTCGCACCTTTGTAGTTAAGGGCATTAACCAGGAAAAACCTTTTACTGCCTTTTTTAAGTGTGAATTATAAGGAAAATACACAAGTGAACTGTATAGTACTGAATCTCAGCAGAAGAGAAATTGAGCTGCAGGTAACCTGTAATTTACAGCCTTTTATTTTCTTAAAAAGGGTCTGTATCATTCTGAATGTACATTGAGTCGATTGTTTCATGCTGGCTATACCTTAGTAAACGTTCCTTAGCTTGCTGATTTTGAAAAGCTAAGCTGTCATGCCTTAGTTTAATAATAATAAAACAATTCACACTCGGATGTGTGCAAGACAGCTAGGCCAATGTCCTCCTCCTCAGCTTCACACAAAAATGTGTACTGTATGAGGAAGCTAGGAGATCTGAGTGAGCCTGTATGAACGACTCACTCGTTTTAGCTACAAATTAATTTGCTGTGAGGGATTTCTAAAATTCAGCACCCTGTAGTTTATTTTAAAAAAAACTTTCCAAATTTGGTAGTATTATAGTAATTGCTAGCTTTACATTAGAAATTACAACTTCTGAAGGACAGTTAGGAAGACTGTTTTGCCACTTTAACAGTTCTGGATTTTTCAAACCAGTTGAAGGCCTTTTTTTTCCTGACAAAAATGTCTTAAGTTCCGAGCCCAAGCAATGGAGTGTATTGCTTAAGCCTGTCTGTCAAGCCCAGTGAACCGGCTTCTCCACACTACTATGGCTAGTAGTGGCTCAGGCAAATCGGCTAGCGAGGGGTCGTCCAGCGTTCTGAGCAGCAGCTCGCAGCAGAGGAAGAAGCTGTCCTCCATCTGTGACGCTTGCAAGGGTAAGATGCAGCTCGTAGCGGATTTGCTCCTCTTGTCCAGCGAGACGAGACCGGTCCTCAGCGCCGAAGGGCTCATGGTGGCCGAGACGTTTGAGAAATGCAGGGACACCATCATTGCCAGGACTAAGGAGCTGTCCATCCTGACTCACGATATCCAGAGCCAGCTCAATATGGGCAAGTTCGCGGAAGTTGGAGACAGGCTGCTGGAGATGGGGGACCTGGTGGTCTCTCTGACTGAGTGCTCAGCACATGCTGCTTACCTGGCAGCCGTGGAGACCCTGGGGTCCCAGCCCTCTGTGGCCGGGCTTGTGGATCGCTACAAGGTGACCCGGTGCAGGCACGAGGTGGAGCAGAACTGTAGCGTCCTGCGGATCACCCCCATGGCCGACCTCACCCCCCAGCTCCTTCTCGAAGTGTCCCAGCACATCTCCCGGAACCTGAAGACGCTGACGGACGCCTGCATCCTGGCCAGCGAGAAATCCAAGGACAAGTTTGCCAAGGAGCAGTTCAAGCTGAGCGTGAAGTGCATGAGCACGAGCGCCACGGCGCTCCTGGCCTGCGTGAAGGAGGTGAAGACCTCCCCGAGCGAGCTGGCGCGCAACCGCTGCGTGCTGTTCAGCGGACCCCTCGTGCAGTCCGTGCACGCCCTGGTGGGCTTTGCCACCGAGCCGCAGTTTCTGGGCAAAGCTGCCAGCATCAGCCCCGAGGGGAAGGCGGTGCAGACAGCTGTCCTTGGAGGGGCAATGAGCGTGGTTTCAGCTTGCGTTCTCCTGACTCAAGGCCTCAGGGATATAGCTCAACATCCGGAAAATAGCACCAAGATGCCCGACTACCGGGAGAGGCTCCGGAATTCGGCGTGTGCTGTCTCTGATGGGTGCAACTTGCTGTCTCAGGCACTGAGGGAACGATCTTCGCCCAGGACTTTACCGCCAGTCAACTCCCATTCTGTGAATTAAAACTTTGTAAAAGAATGAATCTATAACGCCTAACCGCCAATTTTATATACCAAAGAAGTTTATTGGATTGACCCTTGTGAACCCAGAGTAGAGAATTTAGTAACATGGAAGTCGTTTGGTGATGTTTGCTTACCAATCTGAGTTTACTACAGATAAAATCACAGCTTTTATCGCGCTGGATGTGATGAAAGCCTGTTAATTTCCCCCCAGAAATTTTACTAGCATTCACCATAGGCCCTGTGTTTTCAAGGAAATATTGAAATCTTCAAAAAGTTTACCTCAGTTTTCAGACATTTGAAAACAACATGAAATGATGGATGTAGCTTCACTTGTTTGACCTATGAAATAGTGTTCTATAGAAGTAAGTCAGCTGTGTAGAAGTGAGAAGAATGACAGTTGTGTTTGTTTTCCATGTGTGAATTTTAATGGGTAAAAGCTGCTGTGTGTTCTAGAGATTTTACACTATTTACCAGACTTACTAGTATTTTTAATGTGTTTTGATCATGCATGTACTGGAGTATTTATTTCAACTATTAAAAAATGTTGTTTCTCATATACCCTGCTGTCAGTTCAGTCTGTGCTTAACAGTCCAAGCAGCTTGAGGGGAAATATTGATTTGTTTTAAAGAAAAGTTGATTTAAAATACCCTCTGCATGCAGCATTTTGAAAAAAACATCGCACACAACCACAAAATAACAGTTTTTATATGTTGACAGAGAGAAGGTGGGATTCTAATATTTTGGAGTAGATGCAAAATGTGATACTTCCTTTATTTTGCTTCATAAGTACAGTAAAATTGACAAATTTACGTGGTGTTCTTCACTGCAAAGGAGCTGAATTTGTGCATTGTCACATGGGACAAAGTGTCACTGAACATTGTTTTCAAACAAGTAAAGAATCTTGATGCAGGTGTTGTTGCTGTTATTCAGGAAAAAGCTGCTGCAGATTGTTTTTAAAATGGCAGTACAGAAATTAAGGTCTGATTTTAATTAAATAATTGTCTTATTTACTGGATAAGAAGATTGGAAAGTCATTGCATTTTTTACACAGAATTTACTGAAATGGTTGCATAAAAATATCATGCTAAATCATGTAATAAAAATGCCTTATAATGTACTTTTGTTGAATTGCAATTCAAGATTAATTTGAGAAGCAGAGAGTCTGTTAGAGAGGGATTGTAGACATCAGTATCATTACTTATATAAGAGGGTAGTTTCCTTATTTGATTTGATATCCCATTGTGCCTCTTTCTGCATACAGTATGTTTGTGTGTCGTGTAAGTGCCAGTAAGACTATATGCCTTGGATGGTATTTGACAAGAGTAATAAAAATATGTTGGAGTTGGTAGGGTGGATTTGGAAGTTATGTGACCAAAACAAAAGCTAACTTAAAAATGTTTGGTCTCCCACAGTGTGGATTAATAACAGTGACAAAGCTGTTAAGAGTATTGTTACTGTTTTTTCACATCTGAATGAGGTGGAAGGGCCTAAGGGGACAAAACAAGGCTTGCTGTGCAAACCTTTTCGTAACAAAAGAATTTGAGCCCTGTGCAGATGGTCTGAATCACAACTGCATCATTTCGAAGCTATGTCAACTGTTCTCTCTAGGAAATGTTTAAAAGATTTCAAACACAAAGTACGTGGCAAAGAAGTCACAAGAACAGTGCAGTTGTCCAAAATTTGATTTTTGATTTTTTGGATACACTGATATTGTAGCCTTGAAAGTGTTTCTTGAAGAATGCATAATACATTACATTTCATACATGATAAACTTACATTTAAAGCAATACTCCGTTTTTGTTATATGATTCCACAGGATACTATTGTAGGGAGAATTGAATTAGAATGTGACAGTCATATATAATTGAATCAAATTTAAGATGTTTTTCTATACTGAGCAGCATATGACAAGCACAGCTGTGTTCCTGGGTAGTAAGACCAGCAATAGAGGAGCGGTGAGCTCGGCAGTGATTCTGTGAAGTAGATCAAGGTAGAGGCACTCTTTACCTCAAGACTAGTGTGGACATAAATCTGCTTTTTCATTACAGTTCTTTATCTCCTCTTCCCTTCAAATAGTAGCAGTCAGAGTGATTTTCCTTATTGCACGTATCAGTAGTTTTATTTAATTAGAGTGTGTTTTATAGCCAACAGCTGCTCCTAGGCAAAAGTTACATTATGCAGCTCTGTGCAGTGGGTCTTTTGCTTGAATCTGTTGTGAGGGCAAGGGACATTAAAGGGTTTCCTGTGTTGTCTTCATGTTGGCTACCTACTCTGAAACTCTGCCACACTGACACAATTCATGATTTTGATTGTTTTCTTTTTATAAAAGTTGTATTTTATAAATACAATAATATTAAATAAAGTGGGGTTGTTTTTTTGTTAACTACTTGTTCAGAAGCAGTTTAAGCATTGCTTTATCCTATTCATGTTGTGTTCTTTAAGTCATTTACTGGTATACTACTGTATATACGTAACCATGTTTTCTCTGTGTATTTGAAATATCTCATGTGTATTCTGATATGTCACCCGTTTGAAAAATCTCCTGATATTTTTTTCAGAACGTGATATGGTTTCTAGTTAGCATTCTGCCTTGAGTAGGTAAAGCAGTCTTAAAATAAAGCCATGAACCTCTTGAGTGAAACAGGAGTGCGTTAGTGCAATCCTACACCCTAAACTTCAGTGTCTGAAGCTTTCTATTGTAATTTATTTATAGTTCTGTATATACGGTTACATTCTATAAAAACAGCAGAGGAAAGATATTTTGAATTGCAATATTGTGAGAGAGGATAGGGAGTAGCTAAACAGTTTAAGGAATTAAAGGACCAGCTTTGTTCTTGTTTTTTTTTCATGAATGCCAATGCATTTACATCTCCTTTTTACCTCTTTACTTGAAAACTGTAAAGATTCAGGTCCATTGAATTTTGAAAATGGAAAACAAAAAACAATTTAAAGAACAGTTAATTTTTGTGGAGATATTAGAGCATAGTGATGCTTGCAGAAAGGCCAATTATACAGTATCCCTGATTAAACTTGTGATGTGGAAAAATGCTGCATCTGATGCATCTCTAAATAGTACTCTGATATATGCAGTTTCTTCTATAATCTGTGTCTTGGCAGTAGAATCCTACTGTATCAATAATAATTTAAAACATACAGGTTTTCTAATTAACACATGAGTTTGACATTTAATAACAAGATGTGTTTGCAATATATGGGTTTATCGCAATCTTGTAACATTGATGAAAACCCAAGTGTTAATTTAGAAGGGCAAAGGTACTATGGGAGCATTTTTAAATAGCTGATAATGCTTGTGGAACTGCTGCTTGATTTTACTTTATACTCTGAATGTGTAGGATTAGCATAAAAGACCATAAAATAAAACATCTTTCGAGGTAAGCATGGGTTCATGGACACATCAAAATTGTGTTCACCAAAATAAATTCAAATTTTCTTGGAAAGGAAATAGGTTTTTCCATGCTGCACCTTAATGTCAACTGTTGACATACTGTATACTCTGAGACTACCTAAGCTAAGCCAATTTTATTATGGTCAAATGCTGCCTTTGAAGAAAGCTCAAAGCTGCTACCCATCCTGACTAGACCCTAATCTGTTCCATTTGCTATCTCCGGCTTAGATAAGCTCTTCGGAACTTCCCAGTCCGCCCAGTTCCCGTTTGAAGTCTGCAGGCTCTCTCTTCAGTACAACTCTTCAGTTGGAAATGTATCTTGCCAACATTAATGGGGCCAGCAGACCATCCGACACATTCTATTAAAACAATACTGCTGTCTGCTGGACTCCAGCCAGAGCGAAACTCAGCTAATCCTTTTTAAATGAAATGTTATTATGAATTCATGTTTTGAGGTTTCCAGGTTATAAATTTTCTGATGTTATAGCATATCTGTCACTCGCACATAATTAATTGAATACAACATAAAATATAATGCACAACATACAACACTGTTAGCAGAACATCTAACCTGTGTTTGGGTTTGGACAATAACAAAGTTTAATAAATTCAGAGAAACTAGTAATTACATCAGTAGCCACCAACATACAGAATGCTAAACAGCAATGTGAGCTTCCGCTTCCTAAAAATTGTAATGTTTACAGAGCTGTACTTAAAGATAAAGTTTTTTTCTATGCTTGTAGCTCTATTTTCCTAGATTTTTAGATGGTTGCAGATGCAAACGGAATATCTAAAAACTGGTGAATGTGGTGTGTCCAATCTAAAACTGTCCGCTTAAATTCTAGGTGTATATTTTACATTTCAGTGTAGAATGGAATGATCTTTTTTCTGGATTAAGGCAGTGCAAGGTGAACGTTTAACGTTTTCTCAGTAAGCCCTGCTTGCTGGATTTTCTGTCACATTATTAAAGAGATTCGCTGTTGCTGTTCCTGTTCAGGTAGTTATTTGAGACTTCCTTTAAATGTGTGAGAGGGAGTTCTTTGGGGAGAAGGTGAATATCCGTGTTACACAAAAGGTGTTTTCGTCTATTGAATGGATTTTCCAGTTTCCAGTATTGTGTAACACTAAATGCTTATGTCAGACACTTCCCTCTTAATATTCTAATCTTAGTTGGAAGCTATTTTTGGTGGTGTTTGGTGTTTTTATGAAAAACAAGGGAGGCCAAATTAATGACTTAGAATTACAGGATTCATAGAATAAAGGAAATAAAAATTTACTGCACATGATTCCTGTAATATTTGCTGTGGGCTAGGTGATAAAGTCGGTGTATCTGAATCAGGCCTGTTAACTAAAATATGCCTGTGTATGAGTGTGTGACTTTGAAAATTATTTCTATTACAGTTATCAAAGAGATTGGGCATTAACTCACCATTTACCTTCAAGGCGTAACATTTGATAAAATTAGATAATTTTATAAGTCTGTTTTCAGAACAATATAATGTTGATAAAACTCAATTAGAACAAACTGTGTTGGCTTCATGGTGTTCACAGCCCTAACCGACCACTTAGTGTAGAGGAGCAGCATATGGTTTAATGTTCTCCCAGTGGTGCTTTTAAATAATCCAAATCCATACTGTAAACCACAATGACTTATTGGAAAAGTATTAGTTCTTAAGTCTCTCTCTTAATTGTGTATTCTGATATCAGAATCACCTCAGATGTAGAAATAACAAACGTCCCCAAAGCTGTACTTAAACTGAACTTTTGGTTTAAACAAGGATCTGTGAGTAACACTGGTTCATCTGCCCTTCCTCACCATTCCTGGTAAAGTCAAAACTGGACAGGAACAACAGGAAACCAATAGCTCGCGCTATCAGAAGACATTTCCTTCGGAGCACAAAATGTCTGAGTAATGATTTGTAGTAAGGTTTCGCCCATTTCCTGCTAAAGGAGGAAAATTTGCCTATCCCAGTCCCTTGGAGTTACTAGTTCCCATCCCTGCTGTGATGTCATATTTTCTCATCTAGGGAGAAAATCCTCTTTTCCCCAAACAGCATTTAGACCAATATCCTGTTCTGTTGGGGAGCTGTTACTGTAAACACGTGTCACTTCCGCATCTTGAACAAAAGCAGCCAATGACGGCTTGAGAT